TTTGACCCGGGGGGTTTAAATAACTTGGGAGGTTTCCATTTACAATACACATATCCCTCCAAAACTCAATCCCTTTGTTCGTAAACACAACACCTCTTTACATCTTAACGTCCTTTAACTTTTACCACTATAAGACCCGTAATTTAACGAAGGATTTACTTAAATGTCGAACGATTCTTGGTAGGCAGGGTCCATTTGCCCCATTAGTCTGTCACTTTCTTGCAAAGCACATCACATTATTTCTTTTATTGCTTTTCTCTTTCATGTGTCAAGAAAATAATAGCCAAAGGGCTTACAAAATTTGACTTAATTATAGATGATTGAGAGTAAAAACCTTTCAATTAGGGAGGTTTTCAATACATTGCTTCTAAGAAAATTCAGAGGGGGAGTGAAAAAAATTCACATTAAAGAGGTATTTGACTTGTTATATAGGGAGGTTTGACTTATCAAAGTTCAACTCGTAAAGTAAGTATAATATCCGTGTAATTACGTTGAGACTACCCGCTCGCAGGCTGCGTCTAAGTTTATACTTTGTCGAGCTATACAAGGTTCGTACGCGTCCTTTATCTAAAAAAGGCGAAGCCTATAAAAAAAAAAACCAGAGCTTTGTGCTTTTGAAAAAGTTTAACCTGTCTCTCAAAAACGCCAAGAAATATTCACCTACAGTAACAGTCTCTAAACGCAAGAATAATAAAGTTTACAAATCTTTTGTTGTTATTGAGAAAATGCATCAGACAGAACTTGCTGTCATCAGACAGGAGACATTATTCCGAATACTGTACATTCGAAGCGCGTGTTCAAGATAGCTCACTGGATCAATTCTTTCAGTGTGGGGTAGATGTCACTCACGCTCAAAACAAAAAATTAATTCTGCTCGACGTCAATCGGAGTTCCATTTGCTGCTGGTTGCTTCATTTTGAACTGCACATTGCTATACAACAGTTGAAAAGGGTCAAACGGTCAACTGAGTCGTAAAAAAGGCTGTATAAAAGTACAGTATTATACTACTGCATCCGATTTTTTCTGGGTTCATCCAAATGATTGATCTATGTCACATGCAGTTGATTAAGACGAAAACATGAAAAATAAATAGGAAATAATTTCCTCGTAACATACGAGTATTCAACAGGTATGATTACGTTTTGGAAAAATTATCCCGAATCGACGTTTTCCGGGCATGATAAATTTTCTTCTGCTTTTCTTCGCGCATTACACCATGGTTGTAAGGTGATCTGGTTACAACACTTACAATGGTAATGAATTATTGATATTCTGAACTGATATTTTCCCGTTTCAAACCTTCCTGACATGTTCGGCAAAAATGTTATCCGCATCTGAAACGCGCGAAAAATTCGGACTTTTCAAAAACGAAAAATACTACGTCAACACAAAATACTATTTCCTAAAATTTGTTGATCCCTTTCCGATAACTACGTACATGATTCTCGGCGGAGCACCGGAGGACTGTCGTACTATTTCTCACACATTAATTTTGGTTCCAGAATTGAAAACGAACCAGCTGTTTATTACCGTAAATATCCTTTATTCCATGAAGATTTCTGAAAAATTATTCAATCTCAGTTCCAGAAATGAAAACGAATTGTTTGCAGCAATCATAATTTATCCCATGAAGAAGGTGAGAATACAAGTTTTTTCCCCCTACTCTGTAAGACCTTACTTCTGCAAAACTCCTTAAATATATTCGAACTGATTTCCTCGTTTATCTGGAATGGCTGCGGAGCCCCTGGAATTTTCATGGTGGGCCCCTATACAGGGCTCCGCGGATTTTAGCCGCGTGGGTGAACATACCTTCTCCAAACATTTCAGTTCAGCATGTTCATGATAAATCCCCAATGCCTTTATTTTACCTCAGGAGACCAGCGAACCGAAGGCATTTGCGGTACGTCACTGGGATCTGGAACACGAAGGAGACTCTGAAAAAGAGAGCATCAAGATGACGAACTTATTCCTCGAGAAGAAGACCGAAAGTGATTATTTGAGCAATTAGAAAAGGGTTTGATCAATTTGAAATTACGCGTATGTAACGAAAATGTCCTCCTCAGCAAAATACAAGTGGGTTCAGCAAGTTGTGCGAGACTTAGGGCTGTTGTGGCCTTCGAAGATGCTTTGCAGTTGAAAGTTCGTACTCTTATGCCTAGGGCCGTCTTTACTTGTAAAGCCCCTAACGGGGTAGTTGCTTCGGAACCAGAAACAGCAGGTACTTCATGAAATGCAAGCATTAAAAAAAACATAGATTAAAAAGAAAATCATGTGCTCCAGCTAAATAAAATAAATTCTGAATTCATTGAATTGTTCGCAGGGTATCGATTGAAGAATTCCATGAACTTAGAATGGAACTTGAATCAGGACGCATGGTGGAAGCTTGGGTGGATTTCTCTGAATGTGGAATCGGTGCGACGAATTTCATTCGAGGTTTCATTGTTGACAGCTTTAAAAGCGGCAACGGTAAGAAAGTTACGCGTTAATTAAAAACGAGAGCAAAAAATCCGTAATCTTCTCCAACTATTAAATACATTATTCGGACCTCCGCTTGAGAAAGTTATAAAATTGAAAAATGTCCGCAGGACAACTTGCATTGGTAGAAATGAATTTAACACTGACGAAGCGAAAAACCAACGAGAAATTTTCAAAACGAAGGTTAACGATGAAAAAAGAAGAATTCAGACCTCTTCAACCCTTAATACAAGAACAGGAGGTGAAAGAGCAAAGAATATTACCGTGCCTGAACTAAAATTACTACTGTACTACAGTACCTGCAAATTAGCACTTGAATTATTTCATTATTAAATTTTACCTCAGCGAACGCCAATGACGACTTCTCAAAGATGAGTTGAATAAAATTGTCATCATCTGGCTATTTTTGGTGGGCGAGTTTAAAGCTTCAGATTCGGACCATAGATTGATGCGAAAACCGCTGTTCAGTTCCCAATTATTTCTGAACCCACGGTTTGAATTCCCTCCATATAATTCGTATCTTTGTTCAGATTACATCACACTTCACGGGGCTTGGCCAGAGAAAAATGAAGATGACCAAGTCAGATGGGAAGGAAACGTTGTCACATTCTACGCAGACGGACGTGTTGAAGCAAAAATGCTACCTCCAGTAAACGAGGCCATGAATTCTGACGATATTGGCAGAACAGTCCTCAGCAATTGCGTTGAAGCTAAAGCAGCATTTTTCTCAAAACGAAGTAAGACCTTCTTCCTCCAAAAAAAAAAATCGAAATTCTGAAAAATAAAAAATCCTTGCAGTGGAACGTGATGAAAAATACACTGGATTCGATGACTTCAAAGACGAATTCTTTTCTGGACACTCGTCTCTCTTGGCCACGATATATGAAGACTACACGCTCAAGAGCGACGGGGATTTCCTCGGTAACATGGTAAGACTTCAAAAGAATTACAACTCAAAATTCTGGAAATTCAATCACTCGGGTTTGACTTTTAGATCCGAGGACAACGTTTGGAAAGTTGGAGGCGGCGTGGCGACGAAATCAATTTCTCCCAATACAGAATTTCCGAAGGTTTGACTGCTTTTATCATCAACGTGATCGATTGTTTCCCAGTCAATCAGTTCCGCAATAAATTTAGATTTGACTTGGTCTGAAACAAAAATGTCTCATCACCAGATGGAGAGATAGAAACAGTCGAACTCACCTTGAAAAACGAGTTCGACTCTTTTACGGGAAAAAGTCGCTGCTTCGAGAACTGCCTGAAACAGGACTTGCCTTTGGAAGAAGAAAACTTCACCAGCTATTTGGGATCCTCAGCTTATCTGATCAGCCCGAGGAGTGACCAAGAGTGAGTGGACTACCTGAAAATCATCAACCATGTCATAAAGCATTAGCGTAGTTGATTGACGAAAATGATGAGTGAACTCTTCAAATACAAATTGCCGTTTTAAAACCAATGTGACTCACAATCGAGTGCCGAAAACGCATTCCACTTCTGAAAGATGAAGCAAAATTCGTATCGTAAAAATTACCTTTCACGTCAGCTAGAGACTTCTAATCGACATGACCTGTAAACCTACTTGAATACACCGAGTGGACCGAAGAACCACTTCTCCAGCCGCAGCACAGTACATCTAGAACCATGGAACATACTCGTACATAAATTTTTTTTTCAACACAAGCGTTTAAATCAAATTTAACCAGACGTCGAAAAAAAAGGAGCCATGTACAATACTACCATTCTAATAATTACAGGGTCTCGTACAATGATTATCGCATTGATCATTGGCTTTGAATAACTCGTTCAAAGACAGCCATTTTTAGGAGTTACACAATATTTTATTTCATGAGTCAGAATTTTCGGTTTTCCTATGATTTTCAAAGGGCTGAGAACTAAAAAAGTGAGGATCCCGTCAGCAACATACGTACAATATTGTAGCTCAGTTGTGCCAAAATTATACTTGAACATGCTGAAGGAACTTCCCTGAAATTGTATTCCAATGCTGAACCGCATTTCTTGAACACTGAAATCCGCTGTTACAGTTGGACGGTCGACGTGGGAGACCTGCTCCAGAATGCAGAAAAAATGCAGGCCTTCGGCGCAAGCTTCAGAAAGCCAAATTTAGGAAAACGGCGAGTGATTTTCACAACGGTGCGCAAAATTGAAGGCAAGTCATCGTAATTCTACAATTGTAAGAAATTCCGCTACTTGATCCATTCTCAAATTTTTCACAGATGATAAAATGAGCGCAATTTCCTCACCCAACCCCGTGTTTTACACGAAGAACGATGTACCCCAACGGGCTTGGGAACGTTACGAGATTATTGTGACCCCAACGAAGGCAGAATTACACAGGGTTTTGATTCGGAAGAACGGGATTGTCGTGGAAACCTCCGAGGAGGACTGGAATTCCTGTTCAACAGCAGCATATTTGAACGTAGACGACGCTATGCAGCGGAACGCATGCACTTACGAACTTTTCACTATTTAATAAGCAGAAAAATACAATGAAAGCGAACCTGTAATCGTTTTCATAGAAAATACATGACGTTTTTGTTTCGCTTCGTCGCCCGCCGATTCCGACAAAAAAAAATGAGAACCCGACACACGCGTCCCTTAATTTCCGAATGATGAAAAAAGTCGATTCTGCGGCATAGTTAAGCGCATTCCGCTGAAAAAAAAAACTCGACTTTTCCGCCTAGCTTATCTTCAGTACGACGACTGAAAACAAGAAAAAATATGCCCTAAACTTAATAAATGCTTTGAACATAAAGCATCCGGTCGAGCTTAAAAAAACTGCCTTCTCTCACGCTCGAACCTCTTTTAAAAACCTTTCCTAAAAAAATTAAGTCTCCATGGATGCCTATCGAGTTCCCAAAATATTATCCACTTATTTAAAAAAAAAAAGGAAAAGAACACATTCTCAGCAAGTTCTGGAACGAAATGGATTGCAAAGAAAAACTCAACGACGAAAACAAGGAATTTCGAGATCCACAACAGAAGAGGAAAAAAAAAACTTCAAGACTTTTCTGCTATTCTTCAATAATGTAACCCGCTCAGGAAGGAAAAAATCCACAATTATTAATTCGAAACAAGCGTAGCTTCGAAAAACAGACGTTTATCTAGATGGAACTCAGACGGGGAAATGCAAAGAATTTAAATTCACCACCCGAGTCTAAGAACTACAAAGTTTACACGCACTTTCGCAACGCCCGATTCCATTTTTTTTTTACAATTTACGCGATTAAATTTCCCAGGTTATGCACTTTTATTCCCCGTGTAAACATGCTGATCAGTCACTCAAGGTTAAACCCACACTGAAATAGCCTCGAAAACCTGCCCAGCCCAGGAAACTTGGGCTCTGGACACTCCTTTGTCGTTTCATGACACCCACTTTGAGAAGAAGGCAACAATGCAAGGATAGCAAACATTCTTTCAACATACCGTGAAAGCTAAACTCGTATGTATCCTTAAAAGGGATTAAAAACACAAATTCAACAGGGCTTCAACCAAAACAAAACCGTGGGACCATAGCCGCGCTGTAAAAAATATAAATCGGATCTTGTACTTTCCGGTGACTGAATAACGCAGAAAACTCAACTCGTTCCCCCGAGTTAAAAAAAAAAAAAAAATTCCCGGGTGTCATTTCACTGTTTCAAGCATTTTACAGATCGTTGGTGTGCGCCTCAAAATGACAAGGAATAAAACTTTGAATGAACGGAATACTGATCACAAAAGAAAAAAAATTGCACGAAGAGCGCGAATTGGATAACACCACCTGCGGGAAAAATTGCAATTCATCTTCACTTGAAAACACACGATTCTGCGGAATTTGAAGCGATTGGAAACTACGAATTGTAAGTCTCAATAACATCAGAGGAGATCAGGAGTACATAATTTCTCCCAGAGGAAATCTGTGTGGATATCGAAAAAAAAGTCATTTCCTCGATTCACACACGGTTTCCCAATGCGGTAAATATTTGACCAGGTGGTGAATCGGCATTACGCAGGTGGAAGGAAAAGCCGTTCCGATTTACGCAAAATTTTGACGCAAGCATCACAGGAAATCATTTCATACACGCAGACTGGCACCGTGCACCCGAGGCTGCTGAAAGGAACTGACCAGCAATCAGGCAAAATGCTTGGAACAGCAAGAAACTACCTTAATTTTTTTCTTCTTCCTTCGAAAGAGAGAACAGCCATAGAAGGAAAACAACTTTATCGCGGTTTCGACGCGATTCCAGCAGAGGTCGAAGGTTGATCCGGCGGCCAAGAAAGTACGTCAGCGAGGGATTCGTTGGTGGTCCGCCGGCTCTGCTCCGAGTTCAGGTAGGAGCCCAGTTGATCCTTGAGGCTGCTCAGAGAGGGTTCTTGACTGTAGATGCTGTTCAAACGCTCGCTAAGCTTCTTCAGCGAAGAAAACATTTCCGCTTCCTGGTCAACGGGTCCCGTCTGAGGGACCGAGGAACTTCGGAGAACGTCTCGAACAGCTGTCTGGAAGGCGTCTGCGACCTGAAAAAAAAACCGTGAGACAGATTTCAAATGAAAATTCTTCCCCGTAAGTATGGAATATTCTACGAACAGATCTACGACGCCAAAAATGAAAACAAAAAAATAGCACCATTTCTAACGTCACATCGATTCTAAACTAGCTGAAGCTTTCAGAAAAATCGACCTTATTACCTTCAGCTTGGCAGCAACTTCCTTCGGACATCCAGAATAACCCGCCTTTAAATAAATAGAAATAAGGAAAATTAGGGAAATTTAAGAAAATTGTAAATTATAATCGACAGCGATATCTTCCGACCCACTGACCTAACTCCTAATCGAAATTTTAATTTTTAAATAGTTGTGTTGTTGTAGAGAATTTGCATCGAACAAATTCAGATTCACTAGAAGTGTCGACGGATGGCGAGCTTTCCGGTGGACCCAGACGTCGACTGCACTAAATTGCACAGTGGTACCCAGGTAATGGACGTCTCGCATAACAAAATGTTTGCAAAATGAATTCAGTCTTACACGAAGTTCTGTTTCAGAGGGTAGAGCCTCAGAACGAAAAATGATCGATCATAAAAAATAAAAATAGCTTCGGAAAATATAACCACTAACGAATGAGAATAAAATATTTTTCGGACACTTCTAATGTAGGTTAAAATTTTTTCAGAGGGTTTCTGTGAACTATACGATTCATATCCAAAAAAATCTGTATTCCGTGAAAACTTGAAAAAAATTTTTTTCACAAAAATCAAATGGATTAAGCCATTCCACATAACTTGCTCGAGCAACAGACTTCCCTCTGGAATGAATCAAATCCATCAACCGGGGGACCAGCCTAATCTCACAGAAGATTAAGAAAAAAAAACGTTTCTCAAATCCACGACTAAAATAAATTCAACTTATGCGGAAATGTTCTGATTCAATGGTCGTCAGGAGCTTCTCGGAGAAGTACCGGAAAAGGCAAAAAAAAAAAAAAAACACTGACCTCGCAAGGCACTCGACAATCCTTATTGACGCCAGGAACAGGTCTAACGTCCCCCGAAGGCGACGCCTTTCCGACTAGACCAGATGAATTCTGCTCCAGCAAGGGGCTACACGACGCCGACACTGGCTCTAATGAAGGCGGTATACTGCTGCTCCTTCCCGACTTGATGAGCCCCAAGTCTGACACGGGCTCAGGTTCGCCGAGGGTTTCGAGGCCAAGCATCTTGCGCACAACAACTCCCGACATACAGGGTTCCAGGGAACTGGACACTTGCTGGCGGAGTTGCTTCGACATGCTGCTCGACTCGTCATTGACTTGCTCAGTGGGCGACGTACCACTGCTGCCGAGTAACCGCTCCATCAAAGTCGACTTTTTCGACTCCGTTGTGCCGTCACTGCTGGGAGATTTCTTCTTTGCCGTCGCTGGAATTCAGTGGGAAAAAAAAAACGGAATCGATTCAGGAGCAAATTTCTCAAGTGACAGAATCACAACAACTGTACCTTTAAATTCGGAATCTCGACATTAATGAATGCAAAATCGATCGCTTTACCACGCCTCAATTTTTCAATTTCTACATTTGACTAACAGCTCGATAGTGAACTTCACGCACACTGTAATTTGCTTCACTACATGTCATGCAAATTTTACGGTGGATTGATAATGCACATTTATTTTCGAACAACATCTCAAACACTGAGTCGAACGACGATCTACAAATATATTCTTTTCCGTTTTGCTTTACGTGAAATAAACCTCTCCAGAAATTTCACGACTACCATGCAACTGGAAAAAATTGCGCGAAGAGGGAAATAAATTATTAAGATAACTTTTGACGTTTATTCCTTGAAAATTAACCTTTCTCTTCAGTTTAGATCAAGCTCATCCTCAGCGGTGGAAATTTGTTCGATGACTCGAGGATTTTTTCACTGCTTGGGTCAGTGCACTTTTTCTGTACCATTTCATGAGAATCCAAGTCTTAGTTAATGATCCGAAGAAAGGACGTCTTATACATGATCATAAAATTTGAAAAGCAACTGACGTGTTCCCATTTCAGCTTTCGCTTCTCCGAGAGAATTTGTGAATTTCAGAAGTCCATGAAAATCTTGAAAAGGAAACGGGGTAAGCGTAGGCTTGTACGGAAGAGACCGGATTTCATCGTCGACCGAAATCAAGGATCCCGTGTCCGGAGGAACACTGCTCGCCCCTGACCGGCATTTCCTTTTTGAATCCACGTCATTCGTCACAGCTGTTGTATTCGGCAGCCTCTTTTTCATGTATTCGCTTATCGTTATCTGCATTTTTCATGAGCGACAAAGAGGGATAAGAAAAGAATGAACATCGATGAACAGATAAGAAAAACAATTTGAGGTCGTAGTTCAGTCAATAATCTAGAAATAATCCCTGCTCCTTACGACATACGTACTATTGTTTCATAAATCGGATTATCAAGATCTTGAGATCGATACGTAAGAAAGTACCGATTTTAGAACGTCTTCACTGGAAACTGCTGCAATAGAGGGTATGGCATCGACAATGAAACACAGTTTTCACCTGCAATTTTTACGGTGTATCAGCATGTTTACCTTAAACAAAATCACGAAAAACTCGATTTGAATTATATTTCATCTTCGGCAGAAATTGACATTAACTAACAAATAGGGTAACACAAACTTGCACTTCCATCATTGAAGTACAAAAACGATTTTCGGAACATTTCGTGGAAAAAAGAGCGGAATTTAAAGATTTTAAACAAAACGTGAGCAAACAGACGTCAAATGTTCCTTCAGTCAATGTATACAATATCCCATGCATTCTGCACCTTTTTCTTAGGCGGTGAGGTCGGCGGTTTTGAAACATCCAGCTTCGTGACTTCCGACTTTGTTGTCACATTCACCGTCAGCTCTGATTCAGCAGATTTCAAAAACTTGGACGCCATGACTCGGGTCAGCATTTCCGTGCAGCTCAACGGCTTAGATTCCTTGGGTTTGCGCAACGACTTGACGGCGCGGTTCACATCAGGTTTGGTCTCCGACTCTGGTTTCGGTTCAGCTACCGGACGAGCTTCAACGTGTTTTACAGCCGCCTCCTTCACCACCGCAGCTTTTTTACTCGTTTTCAGCAAGAACATTTCCGTGATTGACAAAGCGTTGGATTTTTCGGGTTTTGAACTAATGACTGGCGCTGCTGGAACGGTGTCTTCCTCGGCCTCGACTGGCTTCTCGTTTCTTTCAGGTACCTAAAAATAGTTTTCAATTCAGAATTTCAATACAAAATACATCACGAGTAAAAGAAAAAAAAAAGTTAAAATGGATCGACATTGAAAAATCAGTCACGTCATCTAAAATTCCATCTGCTTCTAGGTTCCTCTCGTGAGAAACCTGGATGCTGTACAAGTCAATGAAGCATCGAAGTCCCTCGTTTACTTCATGAGATCAACATCTACACAGGCTAAATTTACGAAAATCTTCTTCCCGGGACTTTTTTCTCTCGAGAAACAATACTTTAAATCTAAAGCTCGTCTTTGGATCAATTTTATTCGAAGTTGAAACGGACGCAGAACGTTACTAAACTTGAATCCATTCGTCATGAATTTTAAAATTCAGCGTAACTTCTTGAATAAATTGGAGATTATTTAAAATATTGGCAATGATGTTACCTCTGGGAACAGCACAAGGCAATCGTCATTATCTTCCGAAGAAGAAAAGTCCGCCTTCATGGCCGCCAAAGCGGCGTCTGCTGAACTCGGAGGACTTCCCCATGGCTGCGGCGATGCGGTTAACGATTCTTGATGATGGGGGGTTGAGTTTGGGGATGGTGATTCCATAAGACGAATTCTCTTCTTCAAAGGACATTGCAGCTCTGATGAGCGCCGGAAAAAACAATCAATTCAATATTCGACAAAAACCACACGAACAGAATTTAATAAGATTGAGAAAAATGTCAATATTCGTTAACCATCGCACAAATCGTTCCCTTTCACAAGAAAGAAAAAAATATATATCTGTTACGAACCTGAACCGGACACGGGAGATTGCTGTCCAGTTCCGGAACTTCCACCGCCATTTGGCGAGGGACACGGAGCGGGTACGGAGTTGGACGAATCGTCCACTTCCGCACTCATGGCTTGCCTAAGCCATCTTTTCTTTGCTGAAGTACCGGTTGCTGCGGCGGCATTCACAGTTGCAGCAACTGGAGTACCCGCTGGGGTCGGGAATGCTGCGGTCACTGTAGGGGCATTCACGCTACCTTTCGCTTTCGATGCAGGCTGGCGAAGGAGACGCTGGGGGACTTGACCCAAGCCCCGCTTCCGTCTTCTCAATCGAGGTCCTCCCCAGTCCTTAAATGTTGTAAATGCAAATAAGCCATTTAGACACAATCGGTCTGAAAACCTCGAAATACATTTTGAGAAGATTTTGTCGACACGCTGATAAAAACAAAATCAACGCATGAAAGGACGTTTACTAAGCATGAAAGAAGTGCGGTGGGCATCAACATTTTCAGCCAAGAGTCTACAAACTGGTGATGAATCAGAGAGATATCATCGAATCTCAAGCAAAATCACATCTTCATCCTGGTCAAAAATCTCTACAAATACCTAAATTTTCATATTGATTTCCCACAATCTTGAATATTCAACGGACAGAAGATCCTTCAACAATTTGAACGTCATTCCGGTCGAAAGAACATTTTCCTAAGCCTTCGAAGGGATTTGAAAAGCTTACTTCACACAGGACCAGTGAAAGCAAGAAAATTATAACATTACTCAAACCTTGCTTTATAACCGATTCAACTAGGGCACGGTAAGTTATTAAGACACTTATGCGAGTGCATGTGACGTCTACCCACATTGAAACAAATTTTCCCAGCAAAAGACAAATGTAGGAAAACTCGTCGAAGAGATTACAAGTTTACACCGACACACCGACTTTCTCCCACCACATTTTAAAAATGTTTCTGTAAAAAAGTGAAATCGTTAATAACCTCTTTCGATTGCCCGGAGCGATTTTCAGGTGACAAAGACCGTTCCTTCGGTGAACCGATCGTCAAGTCTTCGTCATCATCATCCAACTCGTCACCGTCACCATCGTCGTCAGGCCGTTTGATGGACCAGTCCATCATTCTCGGCTTCGTGGATTCGTCATCCTGTCCAGACGCCGGTCCACTCGACGTCCGCACACGCTTGTGACGTCCTGCCAATCGTCGCTGACTATTCTTTCTCTTCTTCTTTCCGACCATGATTCCGTCTAATTCGTCTCGGGACGAGGCATTCGTCCTCTCCGACAACTTACGCGGACTCCCGTGCTGGTCGCGTTTGTGAGCAGCGCGAACCTTTTTCTCCTCCATCTTCTCGAACTGCTTCATTATAGCGTGAATTTTACGCTCTTCTCGCGACATTTTTGATTCGCTCGAGGAAGGCAGGTCGAAAAATTCGAGCATGCCGCTGGGTCGGCGTTTGGGCGACTTTGATGGACTAGCACGAGTCGGGCTTTTGTGACACACGGATATTTTGCTCTTTTCGACCTCCAGGGAGTTCTCTTTGACGCTCGACACAGGCATTGCAACGGAGTCGATCGTAGCCATGATGAGAGTCCGTGGTTTCTCAATTCTTTTGACGCACTCGGTTTTGATAACCTTCGACTCATCTCTGCAAAGGAGGGAATACCGCAATAATGAATTAATTTTCTTCCGACGAAGAAACTACAGTACAAGAATAAGACTAAAATAAGAAGCGTCTCCATTTCGAATTACTCGGAACACATCACAGGTCAACTACTCAACTTCCAAAACTTCGAACAATCTAAAAAAAAGGTCCAAAAATGGGAAGTCTCTTCTAAAATGGAAGTGTTGAAATTTTACGGTCAGTGTAGATCATCCTAATTCTTGTGTCGTGCCTGCAACTAATTCATTCCAAGAAAATTACTTACCATCGAAATAATAAATACTTCAATTTCTAAGTAATGCATTAAAATGTATGATTAGTTCCGCGACGACGCACAAAGTGTTCCGTTTCTGCGTTATGGAGATGTTTTATTCATATCGAAGTATTCATCATAAAATACACGTGGACTTCTTAAACGATGATCTGGAGAGAACGAATGAAGCATCATACAAATCATTTCCTCGTGAAGGAGCTGCTCGTAAACTACAGTTCAGTAGAATATATTTTGAGACAGTCGACCGTGACAAGACAATTTTCGTAAAATGAAAATTGTCAACGGAACAACCGAGGAAATAATTTATTGATTATTGGTGATACACTTGCACAGTCAGAAGACTTTCCAATTGAATCATATACTGTAGTTCAAATGTAATCCATACCGCGACGAATGCGAAGTACTGTGAATATCCATACTAAGAATACTGTATGAAGTGCGTGGATACCAAGCTTATGAAGTTAGAAATTGGATGAATGAGAAAAAAATCGACAACAAATTACAATAAACCCTACGCGTTTTAGAAACACATGGATTAAACATTACCGTTCTTTTTCCACGACTTTCTTCTTTGCCTGTATGAGCTCGGCTTTCCCGTTAATCTCGAAGTCCTCTTTGTCGTCTTCGTTGGCGTTCCGGTCTATGCGGACGGGAACCGGGATGGCGGGAAGCGACCGCGGGTGATTGGGAATGGCCGGGCATTCGCTTCGCTTGCCACATCGCGCACACGGGGCTTTCACGAAATCCGATGGTCTGGACGGATCACTGGCTACCGTGATCTCTTCCCCGGCTTCAATTTTCACGAGTGTAACAATGTAGATCCTCAGTGTTCCTTTCTCCACACAGGGTCGAATCTAAAACCGAAGGGGAAACACGAATCAATAGAATTACACAGTTCAGAAGATACGCTGCTTTCTCCAAGAAATGTGTTCACGTCAGAGTTCCACTACTTCCGAACAGAGCACCAGACGAAACCATAAAATGATTGCTCATCACGCCGACAAAATTATTCCAATTTCCATGCTCACGAACTCTACGATTCATTTGGGGCCAATGAGAACTGAGTAGTTCTCGAAGCATGAAAGCAGCTGAAAATCATCATCTCTGAGAGAAAGATACAATACTGTGACAGGGAAGTTACTCAAGCAAAGGCCGATCTCGACAATTTATAGTTCAAGTCTGGAGAAATAATAGAGGACATGCCCCTCTTTTTTCTTCGTATGATGCTTGGGGAATTAAAAAACACTCAAGATTGTTTCGGAACGCGATTTGTGGATGGCAATGCTTCCCTGTCGTAGACGATAAACTCAATTCTCCAAGGAATCGCCTCGTGCCATCGATGAAACACAAATATTCAAATTTCTTTGACTTCATCAAGAGGCAAATATAATTAGATAATCCTCCACCATAGTAGTTCAACAAGTAACGATGGAAGTGCGTTCTGAACTGCAGTACAGTCGACAAAAAGTTTGCGATACAGTAGGTGAGGTAGCAGCCAATACAATATTACAATATTCTTGTTACGAGATGACAAGAGACGTCCAACCTTAAATAAAGTAAATAAAATGCATCAAAAATAGTTTTACCAACCTCGGAATTTGGATGACAGGATCTTCGAACGTATCTAGCCATCGATCCATACGACATGGCGTCCACGCAAACGTGTACTTCGGGTCGTGCACCACCACCACTACAAGCACCCGCCGGCAGGACCAAGTGCAACACGTACGGCAGATATTTGAAAATCGCTTCAGGGTGCCGAGATCGGAACGAGGCCAACAGTGTGAACATCCCACGGTATTCTCCAACGATTTCTTCAGCATGAAGCAGTTCAGAAGCAACCAATCCCTAATATAAACACAAAAGACAAGTTTTATCGATATACACTTCAGCTACATCGCACAGCAGTTCTGAGTTGAAAAAAAAAACTTCCTTTATGGGAATACAAGATTGAAATAGCTCAAGCATACCTTGCATAATTGAATTAAATAAACACGATTAGACGAGTTCGCCGTCAGTCGTGAAGAACTTTAAAAAGCATGTCTTTTCGATGAAATTGCGATTCAATAGGAAATAAATTCGTCTACCTCTAAATAATTTTTAGTATGAAAGCATAATTTGTCGAAGCTAATGAATGAGAAAGGAACAGACGAGTGACACGAAAATCAAATCCCAGATAATCAGTTGTGCAGAAAAAAATTAAAAAACGAACGTTCATTCACTACGCAAATTTGCGCAATTGACAGATAAAGAGAACTTTACGGGGATGCAAGGAAGATAATATTTTCAATTTGTTACTCAGATGACTTCAATTTAAGGTAACTACGAATTATTTCAAGAAAACAGGCATCGAAGTCATGAAACACACTGTACCTTCTGCCTCGGCGCCATCAGCTGCGTCGCGCACCGCGGCATATCAAACTTCGACGCGGTTTTCAACATATCCTCCGTGACGCACTTCTTCAAGCCATTCAGTTTCAACTTTCCCAACTGAGCACGAAGTTCAGGACTGTAATGATTCGTCAACGCTTCCACACAATCATCCACACCGGTGCCACTAGTTTTTCGAGTACGCTCAACCTCCAAATAGTTTTCTTTGTCTTTCACTTTTACTGCATCGATGTGCTTCGCTGGATGATTTGTTACCACGGGGGGTTTTTCCGGGCCTACGATTGGCGAGGCAACACGATTCTTCTGAGACTTCGTAGATTCGGCGAATACAGCCTCCTTACGATCGGCATCGCCATCTCTCATTATTCGACCAGACTGGAAAGATTGAAGTTGTCAGCATCGGTAAATGAATGAATGTAGAACTTTTTGCGTTGAAAGAATAATTGAATCCCAGAATCATAGGTACCATACTATTAATATTCCAAGAATATTATTTCTAAAATCGCCTGAACGCTCGCCGACTAACATCCAAGAATTTATCGACTTTAAACATAAAATCAATTGCTTCAGAAATACAAGGGGTGCAGAAAATGAAGACTAGAACTTACTCGTCTAGTCGACTTGGAATTACGCCGAATTTTATGAGAATCCGGCTTTGAACCCGAGGTATCCCGTTTCGGCCTTTCGACTGATCTGAACTTCTTTCCGGAAGCTTTCCGTTCACGTTCGCGACTGACGCCGCGTTGCTTTCTTTCTTTGGATTTCTTCAGCGAGATCCCGTCTTTGTCTCCGTCAGACGCATTCCTTCGCTCTTTCTGGATAACTTTGGCACTTTTACCCTCTGAAAATCTGCGCTGTTTCACACGCTTTCCATCAGGCGAGGGAGGGTTGGATTCTTCGCGCGCATCTGATCGCTTCACAGGAGGAAGAAGCCCAATCAAGCCTAGTTCAACGCGTCTTTTGGCTTGGAATCGTCGTGCAGCACGAACATCCAAGGCACGGGGATTACATAGTTCGCAGAAATAATTGTCTGGTATGTCCGTACCACGCAAGCCAACACAAACGACGTGCTGCCAAACGGTGCACTTGTCACAACAGATCATGTAGCCGTCATCATGTTCATACCCGCTGTATGGCGAAAGAGGAAACAAATTCATATCAGTGAATCTCAATGGAAGGTGAAAATTTGATGGGCTCAAAATGAAGGAAAACAAAGGGCACTCAACTTACCATATACATCTTGTCACAGATTCTGAATACTCAGGATCAGTTTCCGGCAATCCTACGTCGCGTTGAGGCTTAACTATATCAGTTACAACAGGCTCTTCAGGTTTTCCTGCTGGTGTAAATCGAGGAGGCGAAGGTTTCTTTCTGCGAGCCCGTTCCTCGCTGCCGCTGGTGGAGGAGGACGAGGAGGAAGATGACGAAGACGAAGAAGAGGACGACCGTGAAGAAGAGGAAGAAGATGATGACGAGGATGATGATCGTGAAGTTCGTTCACTGCGCCGCGGAACCTCCGCTCGGACGATACGCAAACTTCTATCGCCGTACTTCAGCTCGTGCGATGAACGATCTATAGACATGTCTTCTTTTTCGGAATCCTTTGGATCTAAACTACTTGTTAAAGGTGAACCTAGTGACGATAGCCTGGGTCCGGAATAATTGTGATCCCTAAGAGCAACCTGTGGAAAATGCATACATTAACAACTGCACCACTCAAGACACAGTGTAGAACGACATACGATTTCCGAGAATGGATCGAAGGCATCCGATTCCCGCCCGACACAATCTGCAGCACCTGGGCGATTATCTTGATGGCTCAACATGTTCAGTACTTCCGTCATCAGTCCAACGGAAGAATATAAAATTCAACCATTTCCTGAAATCCAAACTCACTGGTCAGGTATCATGAGTAAATAAACTTTGTTCACACAGAGCAAACCTGCGTTCAACCGGAAACGGCTGGATTCTCGACGTCTTCTTCCGTCAGAAAATCTAATCAAAGTTCCAGACGAAAGCGACGAGCGTTAATATTTATCGAAACTACCAAAAAATTACGGAAGAGCCCTCGACAGCCCTACAGATTTCCAGTTGATTTTAGCAACTTTCGCTTCGAGTTCAGCATAAAACGTTCGTGAAGCTGGCTTACCAAACATGGTTCGCGCTCACACAGCCGAAAAAGGCCTGAAAGCCTTCTAGAACAACAATTAAAGGCAATTCATAGCAACGATAATGAACACAGGAGTAAGCGTCTAACGGATCCCCAGTGTACGAAGTTCTGCTCACATTCGCCGGTTTAAAATACACAAATACATGTTCATCGATCGAACCAGAGATTCACGATCTAGTCGGATTCACTAAACAGAGGCACACATCTCTCATGCCCCATCTTCATGGAAAAATACAGCAATGTCGCGGTCTGAAACATGCTTCGTGACTTCATTTACACCGGTTTGCAGTATGAACCCGCACTCGTATGCGCCCCCATGGAAAAATACCCCATACCCTGCGTTACCCGGTATTGCACACAGTAACACTTCTCAATTTCGCCAATAACGGCCGGAAATAAATTTTCAAGTCATCCTTAACTCGCGATGCACCCAACACGCTTGATGCACGGTCGCAGACATTCGACAACAACACGCCCGAGTATGCCTTCCGCGTTCGGATCCAAACAATGATTCGCTACTGTATCGAAATTCCGAATCATACGGTACGTGATGGCACTGCTTGGGTAAACTTTCCAGCATGCCAGGAACAATTCATGAAGCAGAATTTTAAAAAACTGTTTCCGAATTGAGAAGGCAGATCAATTCAATTGTTTAGTTCAATTCCAGCTCCCACGCACTCAGCTTTTCTGTAGTTAAATCACATAGGTATTAACGATTTCAATTACGGAACAACCACCAGTCTTTACGGTGCGAACGACGAAGTATTTGACAACCCTGTACCGGAGATCGCTAGCTGCGGAGAAAATCGAAGCCGCCATATGCATACCATCCCTGTCTTCCAATTATAGCATCCTCGACCGGTTGTCGTCCCGAAAGGCGGGTTGTTTGAATCTTTTCCACCAGCAGTAAATCCACTGGGAATCATTCCAACCGCAGCAGTAAGTGATCACGGTTGGAATTTTATTGAAAAATCCAGGAGAAAATATATGTATAAAGTTATTTCCGAACAGTCGAACAAATCATGTTGTGAAGCGCCACGCCCAGGAGAGCCCCCAACAACACACCAATTTCAGACCACGCACTAACTGCTGCCAACCCGAATTCTCTTGCCACTGGATCCACCTTTGATAAAAAAAAAGTTTAATCCATTTCAACTATACACTCTTTCAAAATACATTTTTTCACCCACAGTCGTGTAAAGTTCATAAATAGCTCCCACGAGACCTCCTCCAAAGAGAAACCCGGCATAGAAAACCATGAAGAAAATGATCCAAATCGACTTTATGTAATGTAGTACGCCATCCGCGGTCAGTATGATAATGTTGATCACCTTGCAAAAAAACAAATTTTGCAGCATGACTCACAAACTATATCTTCGCATCAGAATAACGCGAATATAATACAGTACTTGAAGTGCTGCCAAAAGCCAAGTGAGAGTCAGCCTGAAAATCTTGACTGAAAGCATTGAAGCTGTGTAGCCTACAAAAAACATGGCGTCGAACAAATGATATTGCTGATGCGCAGAAAGAAAATCCAGCTGCGTGTAGGCCAATATCTGGAACTGAAAAATAAAAATGATAAAAACTATAGAAAAAATACAGCCAACTGAACTTCATTGCTTGGGTTTTAAACAAAAAATTCCAATCCTGTAAACCCCTATTATTAGCTGTTTTCTCGCCCATCAAAAGTACACAACATTATCCCTATACTGTATCATGTTTTCTGGATTTTTCAAGGTTTAGAAAAACGCCCAGGTAATCAAATTGCTTTTGAAACAGAAAAAAACTGCATGTTGATAAACTATAATGGCACTGGAATGTGGCCATCAAAGAGGAGAAAGGGGAATTTTTCAAATGTTTGCAAGTGGGATAAGGTTAAATCATGACGTCCTCAGTGCTGGGTAAAACAAATTGTCTCTTCAAAATCCACGCATTACTATGAATCTCTTATATAACCTGAAACAAATAAATCTGTCACACGAAGTTGTTCCACACAGGTTTTCCATAATCCTTCATCACACAGACTTCCAGCAAAAAATATTAAAAAAAAAAACAGCGATGACTGTCACTGTTCTGTATACAGTATAAGTGCGTCCCATATTTATTTGCTATCAAATTTCACCTGAAGCTAATTTTAATGCTGACCATATATATTAATTTAAATTAATTAATTTAAATTAAAGTTCCTCACCAGCCCCTGATGGATAATAAAAGACAGCATGACTAACAATGACAGGGACAGATAATTCCTGTAGTGCTGAACAAGGTCAGCGGTCCTCTGCTTAAAATTCAACCCTCGACTCGCTGCCCTTTCCGGAAAGTCCCTGTACATCAAAGCGAACCTGCAAAAATTTTATTATTTTAGAATTTGTCAACATAATCAGAATCTTGGCATAAATGAATGCATCAATAGCATACGCAATTAACATGACGACCGGAAAAGCAGCATTGATTTGCAAGAAAATAAACGGCTCGTGGACGAAATCCTGGAACACCACGTATAAGCACGCTATCACCACGCAAATAACGCCCATGCCAAAAGTGAACCATGCCGTCGCACTCCTGCAATAATTCGGTTTCAATTTATTATTTTAGCATAAATTAAACCCTTCAAAAATTGAATTAGGGTTAATTACTGCTCATAATAGGTATATTTATGAGCTCTTGAACAATATACAGGCAAGAATGAAGACCAGGCTTACATATTCTACTCCCTCTGGTAAGTTGGCAAGACTGTCTACAGCACGAGGGGTTATTATATTACAGTCGATTTGTAAATCGAATACGCAGAAAGTTCGAGTTTGGGAGGTTTCAGGTAAGGAAAAACCAGCGTTTTTGTTGGGCGTAAAAATAAGAAGAATTACAGGAAATATTATTTGGTGATACTGTATTATGCAGGCATTATTGAATTACTTCTTATTAAATGAGCAAGTTTTTCATTGGCACGCTGAACTTTAAAAAAATAAGACTTACAGGAAATATTAATTGGTGATATTATGCAGGCATATGCTTCTTAATTGAGCGACTTTTTTATTGGCACGCTGAACTTGGCGGCAAGAGTTTATTTTCCCGATTATATATAGTCTTTCACTTCATTTCAAAAGACTTTGTTATACCCAATTGCTTTTCCCTTTCCTGTGTAAAAAAAAATAACCGAAGAGCCTCAAGAAAATTCGAGTTATGGAGGTTTTACAGGCGACGAAAGCTGCAATAACCTCCAGCATTCAAGTTATGCTGCATTAAAATAATGCTTGATAATTATCTTCAAATTTTTAAATTCATCGACGGGAGCTTTACTTGAGAAATAAAGACGAAAGGCTGATGAAAGTGGCTTCACAAAACCCGCAATAAAATCCAGCCAAACCGACTCCGACTGCCGAAGCGTAGATATTTCTCGACAAAGCAATCAACATACCACCAATAATTCCAATCACGGCCACTCCGATTATCCGTATCCTACATCAAAATACATACAGGAAGCAATATATCAACTTGAACTCTTCGACACTTCCGTGCAAAGATATTGAATAGAAAATCACTGACAAAATTGAAATATTCAACGTCACCATCGCGACCAACTTCCCAACGAAAACCGGAATCATGTAGGTAATTAATGCGAAAGACGCGGATTTCTCGTGACACAAGGGCGTCCAATGTCTGTCCGACTGCGTGAACTTCGGAAAAAATAATGTTAATATGAATTAAAATACAAATATATTATTGATGTTATTATTCCACACGTGTCCATCGGCATCTGTGCTGTTTCCAGATGAGGCCACTCCGATCCAATCAGAACCAGCAGCAAGGACGATGTAGAACCAATTGTAAGTAGTTACGCCAGCCAAGAAAAAGCAAATTCCGTGGAAAAACTTGAGCGACTTCTTCGGAGCTTCTTCGAGGCTCGCATTGTTGAAGATCACTTGAATGATGGAAATGTATGAAAATCAATCATGATTTCGTTCATATGTAGTCTCATTCATCAATTCAAAACATACAAATCCTCACCGATGATTTCCGACGGTTTCTCCGTCGCACCCTCCGAATCTCCAGCTGTCATCACTGAAAAGAAGACGCAAATTTATTTATATTCTTTTTAAGCTTAAAATTACGGGAAATTAATTTAAATAAAATATCATGTGTACAATTTATCAATCGGTAGAGAAACTCCCACATGCGGACACCTTGACAAGGGCAATTCAACATAAGGACACTTATTTTCCCATATAAAATTATTTAAAAAGGCCCGACATGTGGACACTGACTTGACATATGGACATTGGGTGATAAAAATGCAAGTAATTTTCAGGCCAAATTACTAGAAACAGATATTTCCAACCCTAAAATTGATGAAAGAAAAGTTCTTGGGCATTTCTCTCATCAATATACCATCCATTTAGCTAATTTAAAAAAATTACCTCCAGCATATAGGAACTTATTCTTCCCACTTTTTCACTTGAATGCTATTTTTACAGAGAATGCCAACATGTCTATGTACAGAGGTATCAGTATCCAATTCTCCAAATGTCCATATTGTGTTGAAAGATATTGGTTGAATCAGTTTCAATTGGGAGACAATTTTTTTCATGGATTTATGATGAGTATTTTGTCCATAAAACACCAATTAAAAATTGTTTAATGTAAGTCTAGGGAAAATGTAACTCAACTTGAGGACATTTCGACTTAGGGACACTCTTGATGCACCATTTACATCCGCATCTCAAGGTCTCGCTGTATATATTCAAAATGTCATCATAAAGAATCAGCACTTTAAAAATTGGTCCAAATAATTGAGCACCAAAATTGACAATGAAAATCTGCATATTGCTAAATTCCTGTTTTCATAAATTAAATCAGCAGCATCAGATACCTTGTGTACCAGCAGCTGCAAAGTTATACTGTAGATAATCGAGTGATACATTCAAATTTCTCTTCGAATTTGTCACGATATGCAAGAAAAGTTCTTGGCATTTCTCTCATCAATTTACCATCCATTTAGCTAATTTTAAAAAATTACCTCCAGCATATAGGAAATTTTTTTCCACTTTTTCACTTGAATGCAATTTTTACAGAGAATGCCAACATGTCTATGTACATGAGGTATCAGTATCCAATTCTCCAAATGTCCATATTGTGTTGAAAGATATTGGTTGAATCAGTTTCAATTGGGAGACCATTTTTTTCATGGATTTATGATGAGTATTTTGTCCATAAAACACCAATTAAAAATTGTTTAATGTAAGTCTAGGGAAAATGTAACTCGCCTTGAGGACATTTCGACTTAGAGACACTTTTAATGGACCATTTACATCCACATCTCAAGGTCTTGCTGTATATTTATTCAAAATTTCATCATAAAGAATCAGCACTTTTAAAAATTGGTCCAAATAATTGAGCACCAAAATTGACAATGAAAATCTGAATATTGCTAAATTCCTGTTTTCATAAATTAAATCAGCAGCATCAGATACCTTGTGTACCAGCAGCTGCAAAGTTATACTGTAGATAATCGAGTGATACATTCAAATTTCTCTTCGAATTTGTCACGAATAAAATCTCAGGAGAAAATTTGAATGTATCTCTCGATTATCTACAGTGATATGCTCTCATTAATATTAATTTCTGGAAATTGATTATTGAATCGAAAGCAGGATAAATTTACATGCGTTGGGCATAGATGTTGAGTATCTGCGAGAATATGAAGCTCTCGCGTACGGATCCCTGAATCCAATAACTTGTCGGCCATCTGTCACATTGTTTCCTAAAAGAGAACAAAAATGCATTTGAAACTATCAGCAGAAATTATAAATATTTCATGCCAATCGAACCTAGCAGAGATCCAGTTAGGCTCGGGTATTCTGTAGGAATCCGACTAGTCGAAGGGGTCCTTTGTCCTGGATACATGGTTTCCTGTTGTGTCAATCGAAACTTTGGCAAGTTTTTATTTAAAATCTAAAAGAAAATTCTTTCATGAGCAGAAAATAATATCGCGGATCCATCCTATTTTGATGAGATTATACCCATTTAGATAAAAAAGAGGAATGGTTTGATGGCTCGTATAGTGAAGTACGCGTATAATAAGATTCACAGCCGATTAAACCCGAGAGATTTGATGAAAAGATCATGAAAGTTTCAGCAAGAGGGAAAATTGGATCTTCAATTCATCCAGCGAGATGCACCCAGCATAATTAAGAATATATTTGTTTGATCATTTATTTTATATACATAGTACTGTATACTGAATTGCATATGCATGTTATCTGACCATAGAATAAAATATTAATCCCGCATATGAGTGTAATGTTGTCTGATATATATTTGTTCACTGCATGTAATTACGATTAAGAGGATCATCAATTCAAATGTCGGATCCTTTTGATTCTGAATACTGAACGGATAAGTCGTTATACACGCAATAAGCGCATCTTTTTTTCTCAATACGGTACAATAAATGAAAGTTAAAATTTTCAGCAAACTAAGATATTATGGAATCTTATTTACATGTCAGTGTGTCGATCCTTCCTCTTACTCGTTCATATATATACTCTCCACACAGCATGTACAAATCAGTATTCACACATCCGTTATTCGAGCTGCTATTTCCTGAAATACCTAAAAACATCAATGTTTTTTTAATCTTTGAAGACAGATGACCTTTTATTTCGAATATTGTAATGAAAATGTCGTCTTTATTAGAAACTGTATAGATGTTTTAATTGAAAGCAATTCACATTCAGTAAACTCTTCCATGCAGATAATTGAATGGAATTTTCCGGCTTGATGGTGAAAAAACCTAAAAAAATTTAGTAGATTAAAAAATTAATCTAAAAAACCACGTTTTCAGAAAGCAAAAAATAACCTTAAACGTGGTGCGTATTTGAGTTGCAAAATTTGATCCGGACAAACAAACGGACAAGAAAGCAAGTTAATAAAAACGTGTTAAAAAATATTTTCATGCGTAATGAAAAGCTCAATATGCACGAGCCCGACCAACTTTCCAGCATGTCAGGAAGCCAGTCTTTATAGGCAGGGTTAGGACAGGTCTTAACAGCATAAAAAATTAGGGAAAAATATGAAGATGTGCATCCAGAATTCCTGATATGGATGAAATGTTTTATTTCGAACAAACATTGCATGTACAGTACGTACCTCACACAGTATACTTGCTTTGTATACAGTTACAGTATATATTTCTTGGAGCATGCTGCTGATGGTGAGAAAATAACCCTGCTTCAAAGCCAACATCTCATATATAAATACCTGTATTCCAGCTAATCTATATAGATTCGGGCAGTCTCATCTGCTTCAACAATAATACGGTACCTCAATTTTGTCATCTTTCGTGATGTGCTTCTTTATATAAATATATGTAAGAGCCCTTCCCTCTGGAACGCATTTCAGGTCACAATAAGCAGAATTATTCTAACCGGGAATTAATATATACTATGGTCATTATTATGGCTGCGCGCGATCCTGCTGCATATATGGTTCACTATTTTATGAACCAGGTCGCAGCTGTCCGACAGGCCGCCCAGTATATACGAGGACCCCGCTGTCCTCCCACATTCATGGATCAATAAGCAGCAGTTACCAGGTGGTATTTTTGCTGCTGTGCAAGCTTTCCGCAGAGAAACCGTTGCGAACTTTCAAATCGCGCAAACGTCTGTATATATGTTTGATGGTCACTTTTTAGGCACATACATTTCTCGTTTACTTTTACAGCAAACTAATCCGCGAATTTTTCTCAATAAACAGGGGAATATGATGATGACGATTTAAGATTTTGGACCATTTGTGATTTTACAAAATATTGCAGATGATGAATTTCCGTTGATTTGAAAATTCGCTCGTTTCTCAAATAATAAAAAAAGCATGGTGCGTGTGGCGGTTGTGGGGTGTGGGCTTCTTGGAGTCTCCATTGCAGGTGAGTTAATTAATTGACCGTTGTATACTGTATACTGTATACAGAAAACCTGAAGGATCATGAATATATGGATTAAATATTGTCACTCACACCATTTTATTGTTCCAGGTACATAAAATGTGACCAGAAACGGAATGAACAGTATAGAAATACTGTTGTTAAAATCACGAATCTAGATACAACGAATTATTGTGAAAAAAATGCAGGTCCCTGCGATTGCCGAAAATATCGACAATTTTATTTTAATTTCTTCATAACAAAGCTTATTTTTCTTCTGGCCTCAAACTATTTTAACACTACTGTATTTCACTGTAGAGCGATGGAGGAATTGAACAATTGAATGGTAAATCATCAAGTGATCAGCACAGCAGAAGATCTGAAATGAATTCTCATCCTTTCTAAAATAAACATGAAAAGTTGGAACATTTGACTGCATTTCAAATGACTCCGTTTGGTGGGAGTAAGATATACTTACAGTAAAATAATCCAGTAAGATTTTTCCTAAGTCAAAATCCAGCATCCCTTATTATTATAGTTCTGAAAGTGATATTTGTACCACAAAATAATGCTGCTGGCAAACATTTCCATGCAAAAGCTGACAATGATTGAATTGAAATTTGATGTCAAATTGTTCAAGCTCCAATAATTGAAGTCTATACTCCACGGTTATTCAGCATCTTATTCAGATATACAGTTTTTCAAACATTATTTAAAAGTTGTTCAAAATATTCCTGAACTATACAGTCCAGCGCAATATCATCTGCTGATAAAATATTATTTTTGCTTGTCCCAGAGACATTTAATGAACTATTTCATCTTTTCATAGGAGAACTCGCTTACTGTGGGCACACCGTCCACGTTCACGACAAAAGCCCGGAAGTGCTGGATTCAATCCCGGAACAAGTGAGATTAGCTAAAAAGGAATTGCGGACTGAGGGTCTCATGCCACACGTTGATTTCATCGTGAGTGTTAAATAGAAATAACAGCACCAGGATTAAAAATAAAAGTTTCAAGAATCTCGATTAAACCGCTTATATGCACACAGGGAAGGATTTTTTGCCACGGGATCCTCGAAGAAGCCGTGATGGAGGCTGACTTCGTGTTCGAAGCCGTGGCTGAAAATTTGCAGGTCAAACAAGACGTCCTCCAACGTAAGATAATATATTATTCATGAAAGAGGAAATATTCAGATAATGAAAAGTTTTTCTCCGAACGAAGGGATTTCGCTGAGCTGTTCGCCTTCTGCTGTGATCGGGAGCTCAACCATGCGTCTTCAAGTTGACGACATTTTCAAGTACGTGATAAAAAAGGAGGTAAGTTCTGATCTGATGGCTGTGTATAATTCCTACCAAAGCAATACCGAAACAAACCAGTCAATACATAAACATTATTTTTTGGGTTGCAAATGTGATCGAAACGAAGCGGTGCCTCGGAGTTCGATTCCTGTACCCAGTGTTTTGCATCCCGGAAGTAGAAATCACGCCGGGAACAGAAACCGCCATCAAGGCTGTCGATAAACGTGAGAAACTCTCTCAGCCCTCATCTGTTCTACACACATGGAAAGGAACCATTCATTTGTGCATCAAGCAATCATATTTTTACAGAAGATCAATGCATGGGAAGAATGAAATTCTCAAGCTCTTGGAATTTTTCCGCGAAGAAAGCAAATCCCTCCACACGACGTTAATCAACCAAAATATTCTCTCACTCTCTTGGATTTATGCCGTAAAACAACATGGCCGTTTAATGGACAATGAACACATATATATTATACCAATAACTCCTTCTAAAGAAATTAATGTATAAAATATTCTAGCTATTGCTTGGTAAACAACTTAAAAAAAGACTATTTTTTGTATGCAATTATTCGATGTAATGAGATTCTCAAGTTCTTTTTATCAGTTAACAAAGGTTTAATTCTTTATGCCTGGGATAGAATTTTTTAGAGAAATTCACAAATACAGGGTACGCGTCTCATAAAAACAATTTGCAGAATGTAGAACAAAAAGCTATGATCGTCCAAGGACGCACTTCTTTTGTTAATCAGTGTCGCGCTCATTGACGCAATTTCCAATAACGATCTGACACTCATTCTGAAATAAAAAGCACATTGATCACGCAACTTTTCGGAACCGCAGTGAAGCATTTTCTGGAGAGGATCGGGAAAACGTGCTTTTTCCGCTCGGGGCCAGATCCAGTCGTTTTAACAGAAGAAGAACGTGACGCACGAAGAAGAATGAGGGCGCATCAAATGAAAATTCACAGAGGATTGATGAATTTCAACAAACATTTCATACCAGAGCTGGCCCACTGCGGGAACTTTGCTCCCCCACAGGATGATAAACGTAAGTTTACCAACTCTCTACATTGTACTCACTTATTCAAATGCATGCAATTTTTGAAACAGCTATGTCAACCATCAGACGCTTCCTCATGACATCTGCAGATTTACTTCGCTAAGTCGAACCTCTGGAATCAAAAGCCTTCGTATGCATAATTTTAGTGAGATCCTGCGCCTGAATTCTCTAGGAGCAACGTAATACTGTATAGACCTCAATTGATAAAACAAAGACTTCCCCTAATACTCAAATTTTGAGAGGCCTGACATCACTAATAATTTATTTACTCAAGTACCACATCCACCTTTTTCCTTTAAATTGATAAAAAGGGGCTGTGCGTCTTAGGTGGGTATCCATTCTTCAAAAAGTTTTAGAAGTTCAGCTGCATATACTTGAATTCAATGTGACATTTTGAACAAATTATAACAGAAAAACGAATTCTAATGGCAACAATAGAAAAATAGTTGAACTCAGGTTTAATTCATGTCTGAATTAAAATTTGGGCGTTTCATTTTTTAAATGATACAGCTCTTGAGTCACTATAAAATGGGGTGCAAGTCTTACTCAGAGATGAAATTTTATACATATGTTTGACTGAAAAACCCCCATGCATGTCTTAGTCAAGGATGTGAGGTACTCAAGTAATAAATGAGAAATGTACCCTTGTCTCAAAGTTCAGCATCCCACATTTATCCAGCAGTTGAAGGTCCAGAATATAAAAAATTATATCTTCCTGTAGACTGATTTTTCAATCATTTATTTCGCCCCCCCCCCCCCCCCAGTAAAATCGCTGGTTTCCTCAACTCCAAAGCTCTGCAAGTCAGATTTTTCTATGAGTAACTCTTGATTTTGAATTGAAGAGCTTTGACTGCATTATTAAAATTCATATAGCAATAAAATGCTTCTTTCTTTCAAGTGCTACATTCCGGAATGACCCATTGGGCTTCGCGAGAATGCGCAGTTTGCCTCGACGGGAAGCGAAACGCAGTCCTCAACCCTTGCCATCACATTTGCACATGCTTGGATTGCGCGAAACTTCTGCTCAGCAGGAGAGACGCTTGTCCGATTTGCAGGAAGCCCATCCACGACGCTTTCAAGATATATTACGCGTAATATCAGAATTCAATGGCGATAGATAAATGAAAAGAGAAGGAATGAGATTCATTTCCCATCAATTTATGTACGACTCTCGAAATTGGAAAATTTTTTCGCACCATCCAGCAAGCGCAAGAAAGTTTCAGTGTTGATGAAAACTGAGCAGGCGTCTGATTACTTTCCATCGTCTTCGTTTCAGATTTAAGAAAAAAGAACACGATGATCGAGAGCATCGCTTAAAAAAGAAAAATCAGCTTTAAGTTACCATTGCAACAGAAACAAGTTATCTTGGCTTGAAAAAACTGGCGTGACAAACATATTTATCAGCTTAGCTGAACTGGTTGCACAATAAGAAGGCATGACGACAGATGTTTCCGGACTGTTTCAGAAGATAAGACTCGAAAGAAATTCAACAGAAAAACAAATTGACAGTATAACGAGATAATTTTTGACTGTAAAATACATGTTTTCTTCACCAAGCGACGGAAACTAGGTCTAGGTCCTTCAGTTTCTTCGGGTATAATCTTTTTCAAACTTTCGTGGCAGCATCTTTTTTCTCTTCGGGTTTCGAAACTCCGGATCTTTCCGCGGCACTCCTTAAATCGAAATAGGGAGTTTTCAATGAAAAGTATTCGGTGACGATTGAGTTGATCCAGTCGACTTGTTGAACAACGTCCGCATAAACTCCTGGGATCCCACCTTGCCCGCACCCGATGCCCCAAGCTACGATGCCCACTTGAACGTACGATTGTCGGTATTTATCGAAACAAACCAAAGGACTTCCACCATCACCCTGAAAAAGCGCGAACATAAATTAAATCATGCGAACGTACGAGAAACTTGATCTCGAAATAGAAATTAAACTCAGACTTTCGAAAATTGCTGCGAAGTTCGTCAGACGAGAAATGAATTGAGACAAGCCCGAAATTCGATTTTTCTGGCGAATTGTAATTTGATAATTCAATGAGAAACTCAACCGGTGGAAATGAACTTAGATTGAGTTACGATAACGGGTTCCCGCAATAAACCGTTCTATAATCCACTATTCATGCAGATTTTTCGATCAACTGCGTTATTATATAGACGGAAAGTTTCCACACCTTACAGGCATCCTTTTCCGGTTCTCCTCCAGCACAAATGAACGACGGATGAAGGCGGAAGTATTTCCCGAGTTTCGTGTCCCTCAATGAATGTTGACATTCATAGTTACTGACAACTGGCACATCTATTCTCTTGAGGACTTCCTGATAACTTCCCAACTTGCCTAATCATATACGAAAAGAATAATGAAAATATTCATCCAGAACAGAACAATTCAAAAACGCCAAAAAATGCAGCTAGAAAATTTACCGAAGTTATTTTTCCCCCAACCGGTGACAGTGCAGTAACTGCCTTCAAAATTCTGACCATAATCTGGCAGACAGATGGTGTCGATGTGGTGGTACAACTCGACAGGCTCGTCAAGGAACAGCAAAGCGACATCATTGAACAACGTTCCTTTGTGAAATTTATCTTGAAGGATCACCTTTGAAAATTTTAAAACGTAAGGAAAGAATTTACTCCCGTTCGCCGTCTGAGAACATCTAAATACTGTAGAATAAAACACGGCGCAACAAACGTACTTTGGTAACTCTGCGATCTTCATGAGGGTATGGCTCGTATTCATCCCTCTGGGTGTCCCATTCTCCGAGTCGCACCTTTAAGGGCTGTGGATCGTTTCTAAAAGAGGTAATTACATATACAATCAGATATTCGAACATCTCCAAGTCAAATACCTCCCTATGTCGAAAATTTTCAAGTCCCCTGTCCAACTTGCCTTCGAAACAATGAAAATTAAATTTTCTCAACTGGATTTCCTCTTCAGATTTCTGTAACTTGAATTTTTTCAAGGCCTTTCGGCTATTATTTTATTCACACAGGAACGAGAAAATCAATAAAAATGTAACTTGACGTGCTTTGAAAGGAAGTGAAAGACGGATTGGGAAAACAAATCCTGGCCTACAATTTCAGCATCCTGATAACTCATTCAAGAAACAGTTCGGGGCCCAAAATATCATTTCCTGTAATTCTCCTTTCTCCCCCCTCCGACACAAATGCTCTTTTCCCGAACTATATTTTTTTGCTGGTCTCTTAAAATTCGACTACAATAATATACGCGTGCGTTAAGCTCTATCTGCTCAAATCCAATCGAGTTATCAACTGAACTGGGATCACGGATTTCATGAAAATAAAGGTAATCAAATTTACTGCTAAATAATTAAGATCATGATTACCTAAAATATTCAACGCAATGAGCTGCAGTGAGGATGACTTGCGGATGAATCAGAGAACCACCACATTGGTATACGTCATATTCCTCTCTATGGCCCTTGCTATCTGGCTCAGACAACTGCGTTTTCAAAATCGCAGCCATCCAAGGAAACTCGCCAAATTGTGTCTCCGCTTCGTAGGACTGATTGTTGAACATGATCCTAACGCCCAAACCTTTTCACAAAGATTTGAGTCTCGTAAAATTTCCATTGAAAACGGTAAGAGATAATCCAGTTACCGAGCTCATTACGACGACCACATTGAGGCTGAAACAACGGGGCGGGATGTGTAGTTGTGATACCCTGGGTGTCAGGCTGTTGACAGCACACATCCAAGTAATTCGGGCAATTACCCCCAATCAACTTCGGCTCTTCATTCAGATCTTTTCTGACATCAATAATTCCTTCTCCGGTATCCAGGATGAAGCCATCCTTCGATTTAAAAAAAAAAACGAAGCATTCAACAATGAGGGCATGAAGAAAGCACGAGACTTACTTGACATAGATAGAACGGAACGCAATCATAAGGATACTCGCACTTCGGATTCTCAATCGGGATGTTGTACTTGCTCTTCTTGGGACCAGAGTGTCCGCCTCCAGGGCCGTAAGGTTCCTTCAACGGCAGACCTGAATTGATCGGTGGTACTCCAGGGCCACCTCCATAACCACCTGGCGGCGCTGGAAGAACTTGAGGATGTGATTGCAAGGGGCCGCCTGGAGAGATCGACGCTCCTGGGCCATATCCACCTGGTCCACCAGGGGAAACTGGCGGAAGCCCTCCCCCGAAAGGCGCGTTGCCTGGTCCATACCCACCTGGCCCACCGGGTGAAACTGGTGGGAATCCACCTCCTAAAGACGGGTTGCCTGGTCCGTAAACCCCCGGCACAGCAGGGGGAACTGGAGATAGACCACCACCAGACGGTTTTCCCAGGCCATAGCCACCCGGCGAACCAACAGGGGGCACGGGAGGTAATCCTCCACCTGTGTACATTACGAAAATATGGCTTAATGCACTAGCACATTAACAAATTCGAACTTATTTCAGTCAAACTTCAAGGGACCAGAAAAAAAAATTGGGTTACGGATAGGGAGGTTTACACTTAGCATCGTTTGAGTTCGGGGGGGGGGGGGATTACTGTACATTACAGGATATTGTAATTGGTGATATCCTGGGCATTACATTGATTCTTAAATGAGTTGACAGGATTATGAACTTGGAGGCAAGGTTCTTCCCAATTAGTCTCTAACCTCCTTACAAAACACATCATGTAACATTTTTATTGTTTTTCTGTTTCAATAAAATAATATCCAGAAGACCCTCCAGAAAATTCGAGTTGCAGAGACTTGCGGAGGAAAGGCTCGTGAGGTTTTAATGCTTTTTAAGTAAGAAAGGAAACTGAAAAATCGACACATGGAGGTTCGAGTTACACTATGGAAACTTATACATCAAATTCCGGATTTACTGATCCGTGAATCATCCAATTTTCACCATTTCATCCGGAGTAAAATTGAAGCTTGAATAAGAAACATGATTTTCTAGATGTACATCTCATATAAAAATTTAAAATGAAGCGCAGGCGTCACAAGTACATCACATACAGTATTCACTTCTTCAAGTGCTCTTTCAGCTGCCAATCTATGTTTGCTCTTTTGTTACACTGTACAACCCCATTTCCAGGTTCCACATCAAGAAATGAAATTTTAAAAATTCAGGCGACAGAAACTTATATTATCTTGGAGGGTAGTGTCAGCATACTAGGTCTTCCGAGATTTAGTGCTCGATACTTTCGCACAGAATAACTCGGAATGCCCGTTTCCCTTGAAAGCTGATATTTCTGGAAGTCAAAGCACCCATGTCAATTCATTTTCCCCTACTTCCCTAGCGTTTCATCTTTTTTTTAGAAGAATAACGGAATATCCCTTCTCTTTCTCCAATTTAAAAAAGCGAAAGAAAAAGAAACGCAGAATTTTTTGAAATGGAACGCAAAGGGAGCTAGAATTGTTGCGGCACCTGCGGGGGATTGGGGTGTAACTGATGGGAAATTCCATCCAAGCCAACGGAACAGTTTCAACGACCTTCGGCCAAAAAATGTACAGGTATTCCCCAAGCTTTGTACAATCCAGGACGGAAAGATAACCCACCTCCTAAGTTATTTCCTGGTTTCCCCGGAATCGATCCGTATGGCTGGTTTGGTCCAACTGGTCCCGGAGGAAGAACTTGGGGATACTGATTGCCTAGAAGGCCACCTGAAGCAATGCATGGTTGTTGTTGATCATACAAACCTGGATGACTTTCTCTCCCTGAGTTACCTTTATTTCCTCCGTAGGAACCTACACAAATCATTTGATACTTAAGCGCAAGGCTGAAACCTCATTTTTCGGAATCTTTTACCTCCGTAAGATTTCAGAAACTCGTCTTCCGCGTTGGCAACCACGGGATCCAGCGGCTTCTGGTCTATTTAGAAAGCCAAAAGTCAGAAGACGTTAGAATAATGTCATTCAACTCGTCTGATGATTTGTGGGAGATCGCTCTTCGATTAAGTCGGAAGTAAATCGCACACTCTTCGAACATCAGAGACTGCAGTATGTAATTCTCGAACACATAAGAGAGGGAATATCTGACATAAAATTCTCGGATAGATCCGATACGAATGTCTCACCACCAGAAACAGACATACCTTTCCCCGCGACGGGTTCCGTCGTCCCGGCGTTTACGTCTGCCGGAGATCGTTTCCAGTGCGATTCAACGCGTAGACATAGCATACAAAGCACGGTTAGAGGCAAAAAGGAGAACATCTTGGCTGACGAGAATACACTGAAAACGAACAGGAACGCAGCAAGCAACATAACCGTCGACGGACATCATGGCTCCGGAAGTTCCAATGATAGCAACCGGAAATTCTACAGTTCGGAAAGATGCTGCAGCGGCGATGATAAGGCGCTGTATCTAGGGAGAAGTACTGAAAAACGCTCGAGAAAAAATTTTCTAAAAGCAAACTCAAGTAAATGAAAGTCGCTTCAGCGGTTCACGAAAAAGTGTCTCTAATAAGCCTTAGATCATATCCCCAACACAACACGACGCTCTCATCAGGGAATTAGGGACAAGAAAAAATCTCGAAATTGACAGGATCAATACAGAAACGTGGTGGAAGTCTGCATAAATAAACCGCCGGAGAAAATGAAGGGGCATACACACGGAATGTGAGACACGCTCGCTTTAAAAACCATGAATCTTGAGTTGATCCTGCTTCACGAGTCCACATCTCGTCAGGAATTGACAAATATTTTCGCGTTGATCCCCTTGCAGCTGCAACACCTCTCCATACTCTTGGTGTTCTACAACGGTTCCGTTACAGGCGAACTCCTTTTTACAGGCCCGGACAATTTTCTTCAAGTCGTAGTCAGCCGAGAGTCCTTGAACGGTCGTCAATGTTTTACGGCCAGAGCGTTGCTGGATTCGAACATGCACCAGACTGTCTTGAACGCCTTCATCGGCTCCACGATTTGCATCCGCGAACGGATCAAAAGTACTCAGATTTTGAATCGACATCCGATTGCTTAGAATACCCTGCGAATACAGCAGAAGAAAAAATGATTACTCAGACTGCTAGCACTATCACAAAAGAAACGTATGCTCCTTCCCAAGTTGTCAAAGTTCAGATTAACCCGCGCTAATGGTCAAAAACGACTCCGCGAACTAGGAACATGGTGTTCCCACGACACTGGTTCGAATTTCAAGAGGACTGTATACACACCACACATGAATTCCTTCCACTATAACCCCAACACATGACACGACGTTGCGATATAACTTTCACTCAGAGCCGCTCCACTCAGAACTAGCGCTTCTGCGCCATCCATAGGAGCGCCAGTCTCTCCCAGAGCCAACAGTGGCTTTCAGTGAGTGACTTTAGCTGCAATAAGTTAGCGGTATTGATTCTGGGAGGATTTCCAGAGCAGAATAAAATTGCGCATACTGAAGAAAACATTTTTTCAAATAAATACTAAACTTTAGGTTGGGTTAGTTAGGTTCGGTTAGTTAGGTTAGGTTTGAGATATGTAAAAAAAATTTCTACACCAATGTCAATGTAAAATTCCTGTTTAAAAATGCGCCATTCATGCATTCACTCATTATTGATGGTGCTAACTCATTATTGATAAAGACAGAGTTGAAGTAATTAGCTCTCTACCGGAGTAGCGTGAAAGTGAGCGGCGGTGAGTTAAAACTATAGCATAACGTCGGTATGCCTCAACAAAACTCCTACACCAGCACGTTTGATCCCGTTTTCAATCAAGACGGGACAGGACGCTTGCCAATCCGGAAGAATACAGTACAGTACTGTATGTTCTTCCAGAAAAAGCTATAGAGATACTTTTTTTTTGGTGGGTTCACGATATTTTGGCCTCATTTACTTCACAGTGATGTCTCTTTTAACCTAGATGTCGCTATAAACAAAGGAGTGGTGGTAATTAACAGCACAATCTGAAGTACTATAGATAAGTTGTACTGTATTGGATTTGAAGAAATACAGTACTGTAATTCATGTTGCATATTCATATGGCCGCATGGAAAAAGCTTTAAATCCTGAAAGGACGGATAATATCAAGCTTCAGAATTACAATCAGCATGGTTAGTCAGGAAAACGAGAGCAAATCCTCGCATTTCACATTTCAGTTTTTCACTTATACAAAATCAAATTGGTCAGGTAGAACGTTCGCGGGACAGTGAGAGAATAATTTGGCCGCAGTGCTTCGTTCGTGTGCCTTCGCTGAGCTCCTGCTGAGCTACTCTCATTCTCTTCCGCGTCCATACGTGTGTAGAACAGTCGAATAGGTTATTAACACAAAGAATATACAGCAGTTGCTCCTGCTGTGGACTATTTCTGGCGTTCGCGGACCGGCGTGCGGACGTGGTTCATTCGTGCTGATGTGTAAAGAAAGAAAAAAAGTCTGAAATATAAACACAGCAGTGTGGATGAGGTAAAACTTCAAGAATGAATCTTTGCCGCGGTTCTTCGCTCTCCGGCCTAGAAAATTCCTGCGTTTGAAGTGAATTTTGGTATTTTTGGCGCTGCTTTTTATTGAAGAGAACGCGTCGTCGTGATTCATGTGCTGTCCACACATATAGTATTCAGCTCGTCAATAAAGGACGTTTTATATATGCATTACGAACGTGTGCTATATACTGTAGCTATATATAGTACAGTATTGTATTCCGCAGTATGGTTGTATTGGTCTGCTGCAACTACAAAAGTTGCGCACATTAACTTTTTGTGCGTTCAAAAACGTGAGATCAGTGCATATTTACTTCAAGGACACGGAATATTTTTACAATTTCCAATCTAGACATGCTGATGCCGCTGGTGTGATTGAATCGATGGGGATATTGTATAGGGAATGAACACGTTTTGAGGATATATTACGCGGTTGGTTTTTTGCGATCCCGCGCATATGCTGTTAATATAATCATATATTGTACTGTATAACCTATTCAAAATAGAATGCCCCAAAATGAATTTAAAAACTTTTCATAAATTGCAGTGCAGATACGTTAATAATTTCCTGAGAAATTTTATGGCATTATTGTAGACACGTGGGCTAATACCTGCTGGGAGAAGAAATTAATTTGTCCTCTAAAAAGCATCCCTTAAAAAAAATTTTCAACCCTGCTGTATACAATTTTTATTTTTATTTTTCCTGCCTATTACAAATATTTTCTAGGTTCCAAAGACAGAATCAGAGAAAAATGCCATTGAATACTGGCATTAGGGTGAAAATAAGTCTTTTTAGATTACTGTAAATAACATGGATGATAGTTCCAATAAAAATAAATTGCTGGATTCAAAAAATTGTTTTGATGAAAAATTTGTCAGAAAAATATTTTTTACAACGGAATCCTGCTGTATAGTGTAGAATCGCATGACCACAAATCTTCGTACTGTATAAAAAGTTATTGATAATAATATTAATTCATAATGGAGGACAGCGCTCGATTGCCACAATTCATTCAAATTCTTTCACACATTTTTATTTTGAATATTTGTCCCAATCCCAAAATAGCTTGTTTATAACAATATTATAATGTATAAAATCAAACTGTGAACATATATCATTCAAAAGAGCACAGAATGAGCTTCAATTTTGTGGCCTTCGTTTTTTACATAATTGTTTGAATATTATGGTGATAAGCAGCTAAAAACTTCAGTAAATCGCTTATGTAATCCTCGTATTTTTTTCTGGCATTATTGTGTTCGTATTCTGTGTTTGTTTTGTCAACAATTTCAACCAGCTGATTTATTCACAACCAGGCAGGAATGCGTATGCGTTGAAAGCAACATATTAGTTTACATGGCATGTGTGAATTTGCTGAGTCAGCAGAAAATCAAACATATACAGTACCAGCGTTTTTCCGCTCATTTCGTCTCGAATAATGATTCTTGCATGAAGTCAGATTATCCTTCCTTCGAAAATCACATTTAAAAATGTTTTCAAAACAATCCAACTTTGAATTCGGTCATGAATAAAATAATAGTCCTTAATAATATTTGTCGGGAACTGATGCTTGTCAAATAAGTTCTGAACACGGAACGCAGAACCAGGAAACTCGATTCTCAATAATATAGGAGCAGCGCTAATCATGACGGAGCAATTCTTATTCAGATTCAGGTTCAACGGTTCTTATCGTCGATGAACTGATATACGATGGGCTTGGGTTGCCTTGTCTTTCCCATTTAAGGACTTCTAATTAATGCAATATATGGCTCTTAAAACCACCGCCCTTTGAAATTGGGCACCGCAAAGATAAAAGCAAGCCCTTCGAGTTCAAATGAAGCTCGCGACCAAGGATCTGGAAGAAGCATTTTTTTCTGCGGATTTTTTATTCGTGTTTCCAGCAACTTTTACTCCTTGTTTTTTTTTTCTTGTTTATCCACAGTGTTAAGTGTGTTATTTTTTGAGTATATATACAAGTGTATTTGTTTGCAAATCTGCTTCGGGCATTATTGTTCCTTTGATAAATACAGGAGGGCGCTGACATAAATGGCAGCCCAACACATGCAAGGAAAATTTGACTTATGGAAATTGTCCAATAATATGGTCATATGGTCTTATCGACAGATATGGACACCTCCAAGAAAAATAACTTTTTTTCAATGACACTTTTCGATTATTTCTCAAAAATTGAGCGACTCCCATCATAGAAAAAAAAATCAAAATGAAGCTTTCTGTAAATATACTGTAGTTTATTTTCAAAAACGGGCCAATTTTGTGCTTCTCATATGTTAGGTTTTGTTTTTCAACACCAACTATACTGTGTCCTGTGCATCAATATTCAGTATTTAGTGAATTCTTTTCAGCTATTGAATGACATTTTCAGCTAGAAAGCCTGACGTTCTTTCTAAGGTTTCTGCTCTGGTCTACAAACAGGGACCCAGCTTGCAAACATTTTTGCCGGGAATAATTAGACATTTTTTCTAGAAAAGGATGAAACATGTTTCAATTTATCAAACCTAAATCAAAACATGCTAATAAAAACATACTGCTGAAATAAATTGTGTTGGTTATACATTTAAGATTCCATTGTAAGTGTACCAACTGTGTGTGTGTATTTTTTGTTGTTGGACATTTGGTGCCAAAAGGAAAAAAAATATGTCTCTTGGGTTATTGTCTACAGTCTAAACTCTACACAGTTATCCTCTGCATATGTTTTACAGTTAAAGAAAATAAATTTTTTAATACTAAGTGGCAGGCGTTTTCTCCATTTTTATTGTTAAAATCATGAAAAAGGTATTAAATTTTTCTGATTGAAGTTTGGTGGAAAAATGAAATCAAATATGCAGATATTCCTATATTTGTACCCGCAGTGAGAGGTAATTGTCTCTGCACATCTTATTGTGCATAGGGTGGCCCACTGTACTGATGTGCATGTACAGTACAGTATTTTAGTATAACAACGCCAAAAATGAACTCTGCGAAACTTTTTTGAGTATGAAGACAAAATTGATAAGCTTTTTATCATTTATTATTTTTTCTTCTTGTTTAAGTGCTGGAGTGTGCTTGATATGGTGTTTGTGATGATAAAGTGCCAGTTTCAAATGCATTTCTGTAAAGGATCACCAATAATGTGATAATTTTCTTTGGAAAAAATGTGCACCTAAATTTTATCCGGGATGTAGAGGTACTGTAATACAGTAGAATCTTGTTACAACAATTCTCATTATAACAAATTTTTGCTTACGACAATTTTTTTTTCAAGTCCCAGCAGTTATCCTTGAAGCGCAGCTTAAATTAATCTCGTTTTAATTAATTTATCTTCTACAGACTCCCTGGTTTTAACGAGTTTTTTCCCAAATTTAAAAAAATTTAAATTCAATTTTCAGATTTTTTGTCCCAAATTTCCAAATTTTTGGTCCCCAATTTTCATATGATAATTTCCCGAGGCTCATCATCCCTATAGATAGTGGACAGGAAATGTGTCTGCAGCAGAGTCACACCCTTAAAATATTGTACAGGAAGTTAAAAATGGGTTACATCAGCTGAATCGCAGGAAGCCCATGAAATAAATATATCCTGATTAATCTAATATCCAATGTTTCAGGAGCCTAAAAGCATAGTGCCAAGTTTGCCACTAAAATCCGTGAAAATCTTTTCCTTTTCCAATATTCTTCTGTGTTACTGAATTCTGTTTCCAATTTTTAAATTCAATGTCAAATTTGACCATTTCATATAAGACATTTATTTTTGCAGATATTGCAAAGAGAAAAAAAGGGCTACAGTTTGTTAGGCAATAAAATGCTTTTACAGATAATAAGGGGTATGTCAGTAAAGAAATCCATTGATCTTGATATAACACATTTTTAATTACAACAAATTCTTTTCCAGTACCTGGGAGTTTGTTGTAACAAGATTCTACTTATTGGAACAATTCAGTTCAACACCCAGATCTGTTGGTGCTGCTGCCCATAATCCAGCATCTGATTTTATACCAAGTAAATTCATCGACATTACGCGTAGATGTCGCTCTAAAGCTGAATGTGTGACCTTTTCATCAGCAGGATTACATAAGCATGGATCTGATCTTGCGTGCGGGTGATTTATCGAAGGAGAATTGCATCGATTATGCTATTTATGATTGAAATACCGCGAATATATATATACCGGCATGAGATCATTGCTGGAGATTTTCTCTCCGAACCGTGGAAAAAAGTGTTTGTATGTGGTGTTAGTCATGGCTGTGATGGAAATGTGCCAAGGATGCGGCACGGAGGTCAAGCAGGCCGGAATTTGCTTGCATATTTACCTGGAGAGGGACTTTCCAGACATTGAACCTGCTGTTTACAGGTTTGTTTTCTACAGAAAATTTCGAATTACAAGTCATCACCATTCATCAGTTATTAAATAGCGACTTTCGTTCACCGGAAGGCGCCGCGATGATGCATGTATGAAATATTAAATTTGATTCAGAAGACATAATTTTTAACATCTTTCAGAATCGGAATGCATGAATTTATTAAAATAGTTTATCCTTATCTTTAGAATGCACGCAGAATTGACTGGACGCAGAAGGATTGGCCAAACGGATGATTACGCGTTTAGTGGTCCAGCGCTGGAAGACAGCTGCAAGTAATTATTTCGAGTAAAAATTGAACTAATCTATGCTTAGTTCCTTACGGGAAAGTTTAGTCACACAATTTCTATAGTAAAAATTTTTTTCTTCAGGAAGATAAAACGAGTCCTTCACTGCTTCGATCGTATTTTGAAGCGAGACGCTTGCTACTTCTACGAGGATTTCTTCCGGTTCCGCCATTTGCTAGAAAGCTTATGGAAAACATTCGAGTGGTTTTGTGACGTCACGAAACTGAGGCAACGGTTTTTGAGTGAGTTGCGGAATTTTGAATTAACTTGACACGTGGAAAAAATCCAGCAAATGCGTGTCGCAATTTCTCGAGATGATGACATTTTGATCAGTTTTTTTTTCTCGTCCAAAAACAACGATAAAAAATACGCGCAAAAATTGCTGCTGGAAAATTGTCGAAATTTTTCCTGTATGCTATACTTTAGCGCATTATATTCTTAACTCCTCAAATGATGAATTAATCAGATGGGCCAAAAATGTTTGACCATCATCTAATTTCAGAAAGTCATTGAGATATATTTTTTGTTGTGACGTTAGCTATTTTGTTTTCAACCCGACACAGTTTTACTGAGAAATTGGGAATGCCTCGAAAAGGATCGCACAGAAACCTCAGTGTGCAAAACACCCGAGTTACCAAAAAACATTTGGCAGAAAATTCTACGCTCTGAAGTCACCGGCGAATCTGTATGCAGGTTTGTTATAAATTCTTCCTCATTCTTTTGAAACAAAAAAATAGGTGGCATGTCATGATAGTCGTCCATCAGTTGTTTTTTTCCAGGCATAAATTACAATCTTGTAATGCTGCAACAATGTTTCTTTATTTTGCTTTAAAAAAAAAAGGAATTTGAAACAGCAGCGGGACTGCTTGATGTCGCATGGAACTGGCTGTGGCCCTGACGCGACTGAGATTTACGGAAACGCGACGGAAATTTTCATCGACGATTGGTGTCGAGACATTATTTCGTCGTCATCGACGCCGATTTCTTCCCGAAGTTCTTTGATAGTTTTTCTATTGTCTTGTTTATGGATTATTTCCAACGCGATGCATTATTTTGCCCTGAGCTGATTGAATACGAATGTGCTTATTATAAGAGACGATTTTGTAATCATGTGTGTCATTTTTTTCGTATAACAGCTGCTGAAATAGATGAACACATGAAAAGCTACGATGATGAAGGTGGGTTTTGAGTATAACATTCGAAATTAGGACTAATTGAAAATTGATTGATGAAACCTTCCGCATCTAAAGAATAAAGCAGGATGTTGAAAACGTTTTGAAATTCATTGTTACCAAAACGGCGGTATTTATCAGGATCACAAATATTATTTCAACACTTTCAAAATGTTCTTGGATGATGTTGACTTTCTTGAAATTCATCACCGTCACAAAACCGGAGAAAATATTCCGAAAGAATTTCCAGAAGCTTTTAGAATCAAATTTTTGTAATATGTTATTTTTCATTAAAATCTTGACACGCATTTTCAATGTATGCAGTGTATTTTTATCATCTTCCTTGCGCCAGTTTTGGACTCAAAATTAAAATACTTCTCACGGGATTGGCGCAAGATGTTCTTCTATGGCACGAAGTTAAATTCACCATATCAAATATGAATAAAAGAGTTTAGCCTCGACAAGGGAGAAATTTTTCCACTTCCATGACTTCTGAGCTTCACTACTTAGCATAAATGTCTTGGGAGTTGCACAAATCGCAGAAAAATACGCGATAGGCAAACTTTGTCCCGCGTTTTTATGCATGGAAATGTTCGTCTGTATATATGTTAATCTTGTTTTCATGTGACAGAAGGATACGCGTGAATATCTTACAAGATTTGCACGGAGCAAGGAGATAAAGTTTTCTTCTGAGAAAATGAAAGTTGGAATAAAAAAGGAACCTCAATAACTGCTTGTGCTCATCATCAGGTATTGTGCAGAAAAAGCTTGATTTTTGGTCCTGGGAAATTGTATCGTCACCAGTATTACTGAAATCCATGGAAATTGTGGAAGATGAATTTCCACAATTTCCATGGAACTTAGTTCAATGATGCGCATTCCATACATAATTCAGACAAGTACTTCTTATGAACATCACATGTTGAGCCTTTCAGAATTGGCACATGTTGAAAAGTATTGCAATTTCTGAACGCTTACTGCATTCCGTCCACACAATTTTAATTGTGTGGAAAATTCTCACAACTTATTCGTTTCATCCCCACTGAGACTTGATTGATGTGAATTCGTTTTAGCACGAACGTTTATTCAAGCAGGGACCCAGCATATCGCCAAATGTACAGTGAACCGGAAATCAATGTGCCAGAAGATCGAGGCTGGATGCGCCATCCAGGATGAATCAGTTAGAGTATATGAACTTTGAAGATCACTTATTACTCATCTTGGACGAATTCGGAACATTTCGAGGAATAATCAATGCTTTCGGAATCGGAAGTGGATGCAAGGCATAACGGTGACTGCTTTCGTCTTCCAACGCCGAAGAAAAGGTTTCATCCGTCTCGTATTGAGCAGCTCTCTCGGACCAAGCGTTCATTGCGCGATCACTCAGCTCCCCGTGCCAGGCCTGCGTGAAGGTATATAGACGATGACAAACTTATTGTTCAACTGCATTCCTTCATTCGGATTCAGCCAGAACTTTGTTAGGAATGTAAGCATATGTCACCATGTCGTTGAATTTGGCACGGAAGAAAGGTCGTCTTGCGCCCTTTTCAGCAGCGACTTGCAGCGAGCGCTTCAAGGCTGCGCTTGATTCTCGGTGCCGACCTCGGATCTTCTCCAGATACGCCTCCAACATGAACAATCTTGAATAAAATATTGGACATTAGTTTAAATATTTACTGAATTGTTCACTCTTATGTAAGTATATAGGGCGTCAAAAATAACTGCGGAATGTGCTGGAGTGCGACACATTTTCAATAAAACATTCTTTACACAAGCTCAAGCAGTACACCGAGGTTGAGCAATACTGTACAGGTAATTTTATTTTCACGAAGAATAGATGTCACTACTAGTGGTGATGCATTTCTTAAATGGAATACCATCACGTAACGCATTTACTGCAGAATAAGCGGCAATTTATGCGGTTGAAATGAAAGATTTCTGTGCTTCAGAAAATATAAAATAAATTGCCACAAATTTCATTACGATGAATTTATGCAAATAGTTTGGATTCCATTGTTTCGACACGTTCAGCAGCTACCATATCACCCGAACACTTACATAGTTAATTTTTTGTCGAACCTCTTCAATTTAAATTTCAAGACCTTTTGTTAATAAATTGGTGTTGTGTTCTGGGTTCAAGAACACAAGAAAATATCGATGCTAATTATTTCATTTACTTCCTCCACAAGTGAATATATAGGCATTTCATTGCAGAATTATCTGCATCAACAGTAGAAAGTAATTTATATTATTTATATACCTGTACTGGAATTCCTTAAACCGAACACTCAAAATGTATTTCGAGTCCTTAAAATTCAACTAACAATAAGAGGCTCATCTGCGATTTGTTCAGATCAACATATGCGTTCAATCAGCTTCTTCAAAAAATTGACTGGATTTTCTTTCATCTGCAACAAGTTTCAGCAACAAATTAAAATAGAGAAATCCGAAATATCCATTTATGGGGTACTCATGGTCATATGCAGCAGTTATTTAAAATAGTGGATTTTTTAGCATCCAAAAATTGGAAACAATGTTCATGAGCACAATGTCAAAGTTGAAACAACTCACAACAAAAAAAATGACTTCACTTGAATGAAAACTATGGTTTTTTTGTTTTTGCTAAATTTGAAAACAAACCGTGCTGCTCCGATACCAGATTTCTCGAGCCTCCGCTGAATTTCCTTCAAATGATCTTGAGCGTTTGCCAAATGCTCCTGAAATTTGCTCCATTCCTTCGCCTCGTACAGATTCACCAAATCAGTCAATTGACATTCCAGCAACAGCACTTTTGACTGAATTGTTATGTAAAAGAGTTGCCAATTTCGAGGCATCCTCAGCATACACGCCTGCAACGTATACAATTATCGCCGCTCGTATATATGCAAATATTAAAACGGGAAAAAATGGGACAATTTGAAGCTGCAAACAGACTTTTCGATAAAATTCCGCCAACTTTGTTTCCTTCTTCCTTCCGTACCAACATGTCCAGCAAACTAGTAGACAAAAGTGATGGGAATCATCCCCAAATGATTCCACACGACTCAGAAACATGTGAGAAAATTGCCTCATGGATTCCACACTCTCAGTGCTGATTCCTGTAAAATTGGTACTTTATTTCAGTATGTGTCTGAAAGCAAATAAGCGTAAATTATAAATTAGCGGTATATAAATTTATTCAGATGTTGGACTCCTGCAAGTTGGGTTGACACTAATATACGTCAGATTATGGTACAGTATTTATCGTGGTTTATTTTTCTGTCATAGTTGAACAAATTTACGTATTCTTATAATTTAGATAGTTTTAATTTTAGGTTCGTTGAGAATGGCTTATTACTTGCTCATCAGGTCAAGTACAGTATTTGGCTGATCAAATACTAGGGAACGTAAATTACATATTTGGTTCACGAATCTATTGGACACATTCCGGCCCATAAAAAATGATACACTAAACGTGTAAACAATTACAGAAAATAAATCACAGCACAAAAGAAAGCATACAAATGATCATTTTACAAGAATGAAACAAATAACAGGGCAATTAATAAGCACGAATGAAAACATGAAGTGCTCAGCCTGTTTTTCCATATATTTTGCAAGTGAGTAAAACATTTTGAAAAGAAAATCTGTTTTATCTAGTTTTTCAAGAATATTGAAGTTGATAGATTTTTGTGGTTGAAATAGGTGAGAATAAAGAATACCGTGAATTTTCGGAATTGAACTGCTGCTGTATGAAGAAATTTCCAATTCAGCACCTTTTTGAATAAAAATGGTCCCTTCTTTTAGGCGCGGTTAGCTAATATTAAAATAAATTGTTGAGGTACGTTTTTCATCTATCACGGGCTAAAATTCATAACTTAACGAAAACTCCACGTTGATTTTACAAAATGTATTACAATGAGATCTCGTTTTAAAGAATAATCCCTTAAAACGAAGTCGTTCCCTATATACCTAATATAAACAGCCACAATATTAAATGAGTTACTGTACAGTATAACGAATGTTTCGTTATAACAAAGCTCACTTGATCGATGGTCCCATAATAGCTTCGTTGTAAAGGGATATTTTACTGGATCAATAAAAATTACGATAATTCTTACCCTAAAAAAGATGAAAAAAAAGAGAAAGAATATTCCTGATTCACCGATATCAAGCAGAGTCAACATGCACATGAGAATGTAGTCGATTCTCAACGGATCAAAAGAAGGTATAGCCTGAACATTAGCTTTCAGCAATCCCATCCCCAGCTTCAGACCTTGAATATCCAAACTTCTGGTAAATGGAACCACAGCCAGCAATCGAAACAGCTTAAAGAAAAAATAAACCATCAGAAAATGAATACAGTACATAGGAACCCGCGCGAAAACTATTATTTCTACTGCCCAGTTTCAAATGTCTGGCCTTATTTTGGGCTGAATAAGTATCACACTTGAAGTCAATGTCATACCGCTTTCATTTCTATGCACAGCAGTCCATAGATGTTAAAGAATAACCTACCTTGACATAAATTTGTAATATTTGCTTAGTTGTGGATCAGGAAATTGGAAATTGAAGTATAGTTCAAAATTTGGAAATAAAAGGCAGAATCAGCCTGGGACTATGCCGGGAATCCTGGTGGATTTCCTATTTTAAATTGGGTGAATGTATTTCGAATTTTGTCCCACAATAAAGTATTTTCAACACAAAGTTTTAACGACACTTCAACAACTCAGCAGAACTCTTGAATATACAATAATTCTGTAAGCACTTCACAGTCCCAAAGTTTGATTGCGAATGAATTCGTTCTTTGGTAAAACTCGGGAGCAGCGGAAATTGAATCTGGTTTTAATTGTTTTTAAGGTGCTGGTGGCGTTTTCCTTGAAAAATGGTTATATTTGATAAGTTGTTCTATTGTGTTGCTCGGTTTTTCGTAGTTTTTAATATTTTACTTCTAATATTATTTGGCATGCGCGTGCGGTTTACCAACAATAGAGATTGAAGAAATGAAAATTTGACAATGTCACTCATAAGTTGTTCTATTGTGTTGCTCGGTTTTTCGTAGTTTTTAATATTTTACTTCTAATATTATTTGGCATGCGCGTGCGGTTTACCAACAATAGAGATTGAAGAAATGAAAATTTGACAATGTCACTCACTGAAACGTAGCTGTTGTCCAAAGGAAGCCCAGCATTTACAGGGTAGTAAGTCATGGACAAATCGTTGGCCTCCTGAAGTGTTCCTTTAGTGCTCACCAGCTGCAGAATCGCTGTGATGTAATGATCCACGTGCACCAGTTCCTCGACGCTGAAGTTGGTTTTTCTACTTATCAGTGCCAAGGAATGTTGCACGAGATGCTAAAAAGTGTAGGAATCAATTCCACAATTAAATGAAGAAATTCCCAGCTTTTATTTAGCGGATGAAATCATTATATACGCTCTTACACAAGAACAACAAAAAATCCTCCCAAATACATATTGTATGTTGATTTAAAATTAAGCTCTGCATGGGAATCTAGAGGGCTTTTTTCTCATCAATTATTATTTTGATAAGTTTTATATTTATGAGCTAAAATGATCAATGATGTAATCCATTTGGACAAGGGATTCGTAGAAGTTTTAGTCAAGGAACGTTTTATGAGACTCATGAAATTTCCACATTTATTGCCCTTATAATTATCTTGTTTCGAATTTTTTTCTTAAATTAAGTCAAGGAATTTTTCAGACCGTGAAAGTCCAAATCAATCTTTTTTAAATCGTTTATTGCCTTATCTCTCTTCGCCTTTTTTTTCAAGATATTGACATGCAACATTAGAAGCCAACAGAAATATGTTCAAATAAATATTGTACTGTACCTCGATTAAAAAAAAAACTGGGAAATTTCGAATAAGTTGTCTAGCTTGAAGTTATGAGCTAAAATGCTCAGTAATATTTAACCAATCGGAAAATGAATTCAGGGAGGTTTTCGCCAATAGGCATTTTTTGAGGATCATGCAAATTTTAATGGCGATTTGACTTTGGTCATTTATCGTTTTATCCCTTTTGGTTTCGAGTCTTTTTCGTGAGATTGAGTCAAGACCATTTTTGAGACTTCTGCAATTTTTTAATTGGCCTTTTTCCTTGTCATTTATTGTTTTCTCCCTCTTTTTGTTTTCGCTCTTTTTCAAGACAGACATGCAACATTGAAAGCCAACAGCAATTCAGAAAAAATACATATTTCACATCGATTTATAATTTTAAAATTAAACTGGGAAATTTCGATCAAGTATAGTCTAGCTTGAAGTTCTGAGATAAAATAATCAGAGATATAATGCAATGTGGCAATGGATTTCGCGAGGTTTTCGTGAAGGCATTTCTTCTGAGACTCTTGAAATTTCTAATGGAACTTTACATGTTGACATTTATCTCTTTTATCCCCCTTTATTTGTCACGTGTCATTTTCGTAAGATTGAGTCAAGGCATTTTTTTGAGATTCCTGAAATTTTTAATGTCCATTTGCCTTCTGTCGTCCATTGCTTTTATTATATCCTCTTATTTGTGTTTTTTCGTAAGATTTGAGTCAAGGGATTTTTGAGACACCTGAAATTCCTGATCGTCCTTCTTCCTCGTCATTTATCGCTTTCCCCCTTTTCTTTGTTTTAGTTCTTTTTTTTTCAAGTTCGGCACGCAAAATTAACCTTGAGAAAAGATGGCTTCGCAGGTAGCCAGCAGCAAGTCTCTAGGCAAAGAGCGTAGCCCACGACCAAATGGGCAAAGTGACAAGGAGCAGCCTCCATGGCATGGATGCTCATCAGGGCAGCAACCCCAATGGCGTAAATGGCATCATCATCGATCTTCCGAAGACACGCCACCAGGGCAATTAAGCAATAGCTCGCTTCCAGCAATAACCAGGCTCTGTTGGTATCTTTTTTTTTTTTTTGTGGACACAAGAGAGAAAAGGAAATAAAACACGAACGATATGCGACGACAATAACGCACATATTATCATCATTAATCGAAGACTACTATAATGATACTCATTTCTTGATCCAATTTATTACGCGGCTGTAACTACATATATACAGTGAGACCCCCACATGCGGACACCTTGACCTGAGGACAATTCAAAATAGGGACACTTATTATCCCATAAAAAAACTAATAAAAAAGGCCCAACATGAGGAAACTGACTCAATATACAGGGACATTTTCTGATAAAATTGCAAATACATTTTAGGCCATATTACAAGAAACAGATGTTTCCAACCCTAAAATTGATGCAAGAAAAGTTCTTGGGCATTTCTTTTACCAATTTAACATCCACTTATATTAGCTAATTAAAAAAAAGTACTTCCAGCATAGGGTGACTTCCTTCTCCCTTTTTCACTTGAATGTTATTTTTACAGAGAATGCCAACATTTCTATGTACTGTACAGAGGTATCAGTATTAAATTCCCCAAATGTTCGTATTGTGTTGAAATATATATTTGAATCATTTTAAATTGGGAGACAATTTTATTTTCATGGAATTATGGTGGATATTTAATATCTATACAACAATTTAAAATTATTTAATGTGAGTCTAAGGGAAAATGAGACTTGACTTAGGGACATTTTGACTTAGGGACACTCTTGATGCACCAATTATGTCCACATCTCGGGGTCTTACTGTATGTACACCGCAACTTTAATTACCTGATGCTAAGACGACCCCTTGGTAGTTTTCGCTGTGTCTCATGATGGAAGTTTGCAAATTCGTCAAAGCGTGCCAATGTTTGCGAATGTCGTCTTTCGGGAATGAGTAGTTGAGTTCTTCAAGTGCGGATTTGAGCCATTTGATGGCTGAATCAGTTTCTCCGTATGCTATCAAGTAATATACGTATGACATGGTTTATTTGCTCACGATTTCTTTCATTTATCTACAACAAGTTTGAATTGTAATTCTGCGTTTGAGAATTATTTTTTTTGCACTCCTCAGCAGTCATTGGCAAACAATTATGACTCGACTCGGCATTCATTTAAGTTTAAACGATCTATCATCAAATAATCAGGTTTCAACCCATAATTTAAACATAATATAAATAAATTCAATTGAAGGTAACTTATTTCATAATGGTTTGTGCTTTGTTATACAGTTTTCCAAAATTTTCAGCAGATGAAAATGGCACCTTTGCTGATGAAAGCTCTCAAGCGCATTGTCCGAGCCTTGACCAAAGTGCAGTAAATCCCAAATTCCGGGTCATTCTCCATGGACTCCAAGAATGGCGTGTCTGCTTTCAAATCTGCTGACAAGGTTTCAGCATCGTTCAAGAGTCCATTTGCTGCCAAGTTCACAGCAGTGTTCAACAATGCCAAATGAGCTTTCATTTTTGCTCCTGATGTCATGCCAAAAAAAAGGGAAGGATATGCTTCAGTGCGTGCGATACTCAGAAAACCCCACTGGGAAGGTATGGTTACGAGTAATTTACTGAAAAACCTCTTTCTATACGACCTTTCTTTTTCACACTAATTTGAAATTTTAACAAATTGATATGATGGAAACCTTGAAAAATTCCATTATTTAGAAGTAACAATTTCCGTTTGGATACAGACATTATTGTGTGGGATAGTGTAAGGGAGATTTACCTCTGGTATTGATTTCCGATTTGACCAAGTGTTTCCTCAGCATCAAATAGATGTCGCTCACAGTCGTGTAACAAGTACAATACAATATATTAGATGCCCTTGATCGGAACCGCCTGACAAAGTGAGAGGACCTACTATTGTCGCGTAAAACGTAGTCCATTTGCCTTATTCCGAGTGATTTGAAGCGGAACGTTCGACATGGGTAAACGTCTAGACCTTTCAAAGTTCTCCCCAAGCTTCCCTAGTTTTTATTGGTCGTAATTCTTGTTTGAGACACTTGATATTATTTCAAAATAATATACAATGCAAGAAATGTCAAAGAGTTAGGTTATTTAAAAAAAAAGATGTACGGGGTGGGCCAAGATAGTGGACCAATTTTTTACTTGAAAAAGCTCACTAATACAGTATGTACAAACACACAACCCATTTTTTGGTCCTGATTTAAAAACAAAAAAATGTGTGCAGGGTACTGGAGTGCATTTGAAAAAAAAGAAGATAAAATAGCGCACCATATTCAAGTACGTTGAAAAAGATGGAAGAATCTTCAGTCTCGGGATCCTCTTGACCCGACGAAAATCCGACGAATTTCCCTACAAATCCCGTCAGGCTGTCCCAGAGCCCCACTGATGTCGGGTCTCCTTGCACTTCATCCCCTTTATCCACTTTCGGAGTCCTAGTGGATCTATTTTCTGAATTTATTCTCTTATTGCGTTCCTGAGCTGTTTCACGAATGCTGGTACTCCTCTTGAAATTCTGCTCCAATTTGTTGTAATCCGCCTCCGCTGATGCGTGAAACGATTGCAATGGGCTGTAGATTAAATGGAGCGTAAATCTTACTTTAATGAAAAACGATTTAAATCGGGATGCTGGGACTGGGAAAAATGCGAAAATTTGCGTCACAAGTCTTTATTAATAATTACCGTATATTTTCACTCGAGTATATCCCGAACCTTCAATTATAATAAGGCATGCACCCACATTTTTTCAGCTGAAAATTTGGATAAAACTGTATCCCTGAGAGATTTGCACATTATTTATAAATACTGAAAATTCAAATACTTCGAAAATAAAATGCATCAGAATTTGAACTATGGACTCGAATTGTATCCAAGTTGAATGCTAATTTTCGATCATGTCAATTTTTTAAATTGTCTCTTGGAATTGACAAGAAATTCCCTGTTGGAATCAAGTAAATGGGATGCAGCAAAACTTTAAATTTTTATTTGAAATGATATGATGCACCTTCTTCTCTATTTTTTACAAATTTTTGGAAAAAGGTGTGCTTGTATAGTACAATACAGTACTTGAGTACCGTCTTATAACATGAGAAAGACTTCGTAACAAAAAGTCTGAATCATGTCATTAAACTCTAAGCTTTTTGGAACTTCTACATCTTAGGCACTTAGAGCGTCGATAATTTTTAATTAAAGAAAGGAGCACATTACTCACATTACGAGAATGATAATTGTAAATAGAGTAATGCATGTAAATGCTTTGGATTCCTCATTTTTTGACGGTTGGTTCAAGAATTCCTTGAAAGTTCGCGTCATAACATATTTCAGAAGCTGTTATTCGTTGAGATTATTCATCGAGACGGGTTTCAAGTTCAAAATTGGTCCATCTTCGAAAATGCATACATTATTTGTAAAGAAACCTGAGAGACTAAATTTTCAAAAATTCAAACTTTGAAAATCACGAATTATGCGGAACACAGAGAAGTCTCAATTAACCGCAATGTTCGGTTGCTTCTTTTAAATAAGAAAAGTAATTTAAATATAATAAATGTGAACTGTTTCATAAAATTAGTTTGCACCTTTTGTCATTTTCAAAGAGTGTTTTTAGTGAGACTTTTACACGGGATGAGGTTCTTACTAAAAATGCGGCTAAATAGAAATCTAAATCTTTTAATATGGATCTAGGAGTAAAACGAGAATATAAGCGGAAAATGTCTCGTTTTTCAATCCAACAGATTATCATAAAATTCCTCGAGCATCAAATTCCGTGTTAGGTACGTATTTTTAAATAAATAAAAAAATATAAAAATATATCATGTACAGTATATATTATTTCCGAGTTTGCTTAAATCGTGAGCACTCTTACTCATCGTTGGGTTCACCGAGCGGAAATCCGGTTATCTCCGGAGATAATCTCCTTCTCTGAATGTCGTCCCAATGGGAAGTGAATGCGAGTTCTCGTCCGCGAGCAGAGAGAACATCTTCATTCGCATCAGGATTCGCGCCAATGTCGAAAATCGGCTCAAAATCCGTCAGATCATCATAATCCAAATCCGTGGCTTTGCGAGTGAAAAATCCTGGATCTTCGTGTCGATGAAGACGCGACTGTCGATGACAAATTTGATATATTTTTAAAATTTAATTTTAATGATCATTGCATCACCTAGAAAACTATCGATGTAAAACCAATGAATTTTTCATTCTTGATGACTCATAGTGAATTTGATCAATTCCTACATCGATAAAATGCAGTATATTTTCTTGACTGATGATCTTTTTTTAAAAACAGTTTATCACTTGAAGCATGGTCCAATGATGGCAGACAAAGATCAATGAGCAAAACTTACTTTCAAAAGGTCTATAATTTTACATTTCACCTTCTTTTATCTTGGAAGACTCCATTATCCGAGGTAAAATCAAACAACGAGCAGAGGAACATTTTTCTAAAGATTTCTGATGCGTTTCATCAAATGTCATTTTTATACTGGGATGCATCAAAAATTCGCGGTTAATCAGTTACGCATGATGATCAAGTCACTTCTTAATTTCATAGATTCCCAAATTTCAAATAAATTATACGATCTTGAGCAACTTTACAGGGTCAGTTCGTCGTCACAGCAGGAGCAAAGCGTGTTGCGGCCTTCGACGCTTGCATCAAGCATCCCGAAGTTGTTTTCTTCGAGCTCGAGCTTGCAATAACGACGAAAGGACGCTTCTAAAAGAGGCACCAGGGTTGCTAGCTGGCTGGATTAGAAATGAATGCCAATATTGATTAGTGAGACTGAAATGCCGTGCTTTTCTTTCAATGCTTTCAAAATGGCCGAAACTCGGATAATGGGACACAGTTATTACATATGCGGAAGATGTGGCGTAATATATTCTCGAGATCAATAAGCAAATGAAAATGTTGACATGCAGAAAAGCTTTGCAGGTCATCTAATATATAAGTTTGAGAAATAATGCTGGAGGTTTTCTTTGAGGAAATTTCATTGCTTTCTTTTTGCTGAGTTTTTTTGTTTCTTATTCTAACAGATGCAAAATTTCATCATACAGTTTTCTGCTATTGTTGGGGAACCACGTACGCACCACCAAATAAAGTTATATTAATAAAACCTATAAAAAACAAGCAACTACAATTAAAACCAGCCCTCAAAGGGAAGTCACTCTCAAGGTTAACTACACTCACAAAAAGAACAATGAAAACTGGAACCAATTTCCGTTTTTTCCTCTCGTCAAAACAAAATTCAAGCCACATTCGAAATGGAACTTTTGCTGTGTGCAGTGTACAAAATTCCAAATTTGAAGAGTTCTGCTGAGTTGTTAAAAATGTTATTGAAGTTATCTACTCAAAAATTGTGTGTTGGGACAAAAATTAAAATGCAATTTAAATAGTTTTGAATAGGAAATCCTAAAAGGATTCCCGGCGTTGTCCCAGGCTGATTCAGTTTTTCAATTCCAATTTTCAAACTTCATTTTATCCTACAGTTTGATCCACTAGCAATTTTCTTCATATTTACGTTGAGTTGAGTTATTTCCCAACAGCTATCAAACGTTTTTAAAACAACAAAATCTTCTCAAGGTCTGGGCCAAGTGTTAACTTCTTTATAACGAGATTTTAGTACACCTTATATAGACCAAATCCGTGTGCTGTATTATATCAAATTGCAGTACAGTACATTAAAATGTTCATGCAATTTCAGAAAAAAATTAAATAAAGGTTCGGCCACAAGTGCTGGCAACAACTTTTAAAATTTCACGTGGTTCTTCTGAAGAATTGCATAAAATGGCGGCCAAAAACTTCCGGAAGGAAGTTTCTCTTCTACACTCTCATCTGTCTCAATCAATAATCATACAGTACTGTATTTTTTATTTAAGGGATAGTCAAACATCACGAATAGGGCTTATGTGAAAGTTCAAAAAAAAAAGAATGGCTATTATTTTTTTTAATCTTTGACCATGTGCCCATTCTTGGATTCACAGTGCTAAGAAATCCGTTGGAATTTCATTAAGAATATTCTGTAACGGACAGACGTGAAACTGGCTGGTGTCCAGGTCAATTAACAGTTTTTTTCTGACTTACTGAAGACTCCGCGTAAATTCATTCAAATTAATCTTTGAGCGCACACGGAAATTCCTTCGAATGAGACACGATATTATACTGTACGTATCGGTTCTTCAGAACGGTATAAAGCCATCGAGAGGACTTTTGAAAATTGATTCGTCAGAAGAGAAAACAAAAATATAAAAGTGAAAGCCTCACGTAATAGTCGAAAGATTTGTCGGTTTCATCAGTCAGCCAAGAAACAGTGGGTAGACCTAACCTAACTTTACCTAACCACCTCCCAAAATCAGTTTCAGCAGAATGCAGAAAAATAAAATTCAGTTTCTGGTAGGTTGTTGTGATTATGAACTCGTCCTAAAGATTTGTCTGGATGCTAGTGCGGTCTAGGAATGAGGTACAGAGATAACAGGAAAGTACCACATTGGTACTGAGATAACAGGAAAGTACCACATTGGTACTGAGATAACAGGAAAGTACCACCAAGTAGAGGTTTCCTTCGAGGAAACTTCATCGCTTTTTTTACTTGCTGAGTTTTGTTGTTGTTTCTTATTCAAACATATGCAAAATTTCATCATACAGTTTTCTGCTATTGTTGGGGAACCACCTAGCACCACCAAATAAAGTTTAATTAATAAAACCAATAAAAAACAATACTGAGCAATACTGAGATAACAGGAAAGTACCACATTGGTACCGAGATAACAGGAAAGTACCGATGAATATTTTTCTAAAGATTTCTGATGCGTTTTATTAAATGTCATTTTTATACTGGGATGCATCAACATTTCGCGGTTAATCAGTTAGTACGGTCCTTACGGATGATGATCAAGTCACTTCTTAATTTCATAAATTCCTTAATTTAAAATAAATTAGGATCATGAACAAGTTTACAGGGTCAGTTCGTCGAGTGTCGTCCTCGTTTCGCACAACGCCGGAAGCTGCGAACGTAGTTCGTAGGGCTTCAACAAAAGAAGCTCGAGCTCGAACGTTATTGCTGCTTTCCTGCGAAGATTTTCTCCGTGGTCCCAACGATCCTGGCTGGATTAGAAATGAATGCCAATATTGATTAGTGAGACTGAAATGCCGTGCTTTTCTTTCAATGCTTTCAAAAAGGCCGAAACTCGGATAATGGGACACAGTTATTATATATGCGGAAGATGTGGCGTAATATATTCTCGAGATCAATAAGCAAATGAAAATGTTGACATGCAGAAAAGCTTTGCAGGTCATCTAATATATAAGTTTGAGAAATAATGCTGGAGGTTTTCTTCGAGTAGGAAACTTCATCGCTTTTTTTTCTTGTTGAGTTTTGTTGTTGTTTCTTATTAAATCATATGCAAAATTTCATCATACAGTTTTCTGCTATTGTTGGGGAACCACATATACGCACCACCAAATAAAGTTAAATTAATAAAACCTATAAAAAACGAGCAACTACAATTAAAACCAGCCCTCAAAGGGAAGTCACTCTCAAGGTTAACTACACTCACAAAAAGAACAATGAAAAATGGAACCAATAATTTCCGTTTTTGCCTCTTGTCCACCAAAGAACAAAATTCAAGCCACATTCGCAATCCAACTTTTGCTGTGTGCAGTGTACAAAATTCCAAATTCGAAGAGTTCTGTTGAGTTGTTATAAGTGTTATTGAAGTTATCTACTCAGAAATTGTGTGTTGGGACAAAAATCGAAATACAATTTAAATAGCTTCAAATAGGAAATCCTGAAGGGATACCCAACCGTGTCCCAGGCTGATTCTATTTTTCAATTTCAATTTTCAAACTTTATTTTATCCTACATTTTGATCCACTAGCAATTTTCTTCATTTTTATGTTGCAGTGAGTTATTCCCCAACAGCTATCGAACGTTTTTAAAACAGCAAAATCTTTGCAAGGTTGGGGCCAAGTGGTAACTTCTTTATAACAAGATTTTATAGCTGCATATAGTATACCTTTTCTCTGTAGACCAAATTTGTGTATTACAGTATATCAATTTGCAGTATACCGCATTTACTTGAGTACCACGCGCACCTTTTTTTCCCAAATTTCAGAAGAAAAAAAGGGGTGCGCGTCATAAGCAGGTACAAAATTTTCAAGAAGTTTTAGGAAGTTATGTATGCATTATACTTAATTATAATGGAGAAATTTGGGACAAATTTAACAAGAAAACATTTTTGTAATGAAAAAGTTGAAAATTGATCACATTTTTGTTCAATTCACGCCTGAAGTCAAATTTTTTGTTTTTATTTTTGAAATTTTATGGTTTTAGATTCCCTAAAAATTGGGGGCACGTCTTACTTGGGGATAAGATTTGTGCAAAAATTTCAACTGAAAAACCCCTGTGCGTGCCTTACTCAAGGGTGCGTGGTACTTTAGTAAATACGGTATTAGAATATACAGGTAATTTCAGAAAAAATTAAATAAAGGTTTGGCCACAAGTGCAGGCAACAACTTTTAAAATGTCACGTGGTTCTTCTGAAGAATTGCATAAAATGGCTGCAAAAACTTCCGGAAGGAGGTTTCTCATAATCTACACTCTCATCTGTCTAAATTAACAATCATACTGTATTTTTTATTAAAGGGATAGTCAAACATCACGAATAGGACTTATGTGAAAGTTCGAAAAAAATAGAAATTATGACTGACATTTTTTTTAGTTTTAACCATGTGACCATTCTTGGATTCACAGTGCTAAGAAATCCGTTGGAATTATATTCAGAATATCCTGTAACGGACAGACGTGAAACTGGCTGGTGTCCAGTTCAATTAACAGTTTTTTTCTGACTTACTGAAGACTCTGTGTAAATTCATTCAAATTAATCTTTGAGCGCACACGGAAATTCCTCCGAATGAGACACGACATTATTCTGTATCGGTTCTTCAGAACGGTCTATAAAGCCATCGAGAGGACTTTTGAAAATTGATTCGTCAGAAGAGAAAACAAAAATATAAAAGTGAAAGCCTCACGTAATAGTCGAAAGATTTGTCGGTTTCATCAGTCAGCCAAGAAACAGTGGGTGGATCCAAGTCCCTGGTAAGAATAGGAGACAGTCCTAACCTCGACGAAATGGCTGTAGAATTTTCCGTCACTCGCACATCAACTGCTTCTGTCTAGCGAAATATGAAAATATTTGACTGACGAAATGTATCCTAGTATATTTACATCACGAAAATTTCCAATAACAATTATCAAAAACTCACCAAAAGGAGGAAAAGTACGGTATTCCTTTAGGCTATTCAACCCTTCTAGCTCGTAAATTACAAACCGGATAAACGGGAAAATTTTAAATTGGTATGTCACCTCCCAGGTCTCAAAAGCAGCAGAATTTTCAATTATTATTCGGCAAACAAGCTAGATAAAATAAAAATAAACGTAGTATTGTATTCGAAAGATGTTGGCATGATTTTGATTGTAAACTTTACCAACTCCAAAAATCTAGAGTAATTCAATTGCGGTTGTGTTCATTCAAACATACCACCTAAGTTTCCGGTTGTGATTCGAACATTGAATATTCAAATCAAAGCATAAATATTTACTGTTGTAAAAATGTCTCCAGTCTGGCAAAAAATTTCTCTTCCGAATTCCTAGTTAAAAATCCACGAAAATCAGACCCTTATATTACATGCCATATTGATCCCTTTGTACAACATCAGCAAACAGCCAAAGAGACGAGCCATGAAAATTAAGAATAATGAAATAATTAGCATACTGTTAAAATTGATTGAGTTCCCATTCCCTTTAAAAATTCCATGTCGACAAAAATGCATAAAAATTGATCACTAACACTGACGAGAGATGCTCCCGTGGTAAAGGAAGTTCCGTTGCACGCCAAACAATATGGCGGAAATTGCGACAAAACATCAGCGACAATTGAGTGGATTTCCCGTTTTTGCAGAGACATCATGGCATTCAAAATCACGCGTCTAGTCAGCGGACTAGAAAATCGCAAAGCTTTGCAAGGCAATGTCGTCTCTAATGTTTCCGGATTTGCCTCTGAAAATAAGGCAAAAATAAATTTGTTCTAAATGGCATCCGTCAAAAGACAAGCTTTTCAAACTCATCGCAGGATTTTACACAAAAAAATTAGCAGGCATGTTAATTTGAAAGTTAAATCATGACTGTCCTACAGGCGCCTCAAAAAGGTGATTCTTTTTCGAAATTTCGAAAATCAAACAGGATATCTCTCGACGTTTTCATGCATTCGCATCTCTTAGCAAAGGTTTTTTCCACATTTTTCATGTTACAGTACTACTTTTGTATTTAATCTCCAATCTGAACATTATTCCTCTTATCTGTACAAAGGCGGGAAGCAATCTATTAATGCAGGTGAACCTCAATAAGTTGAACCTCCCAAGTCAGCAAATTCCTCCATAATTTGAATTTTTTTCAAGCCCCTGTCTGAATTCCCTTATAGAATCAATTTGTTAAAGACCTCCCTAACTGGAAGTCTTTTTCTCTAAAACCTCTGTGAGTCAGATTTTCTGAGGCCTCCTGGTTATTATTTCCTTGAAATATGAAAGAGAAAATTATTAAAACAAATAATTTGGTGGATCTTGAAAGGAAGTGAAAGAATAATACAGTACAGTATAACAAATAAACCCCTGCCTCTGAGTTCAGCAAGGTGTAAACTCATAAAGGAGCAAGTTTAGGCCCAAAATATCCTAATTTATGATTTCCCACACTTTTTTCACTTCTCCTCACAACAAAAGTGTTTGTTTCCTCAACTGGAAACCTCTGAAAATCAACACCTCCTCAAGTCAAAACCTCCCTAAGTCAAAGTATTTTCCTGGTCTCTGGGAATTCGACTTACAGTGGTTCAACTGCAATATTCATTGCCCAGTTCATCAATTGGCTGTTAATTCAGTATAATGGCAGAGTCAATGGTTAAATTGGTTGGTTAGCTCAGAATATTGATGGATTAATTTAATTTAGGTTAAAAGGCCCTTTAACACTAGGTTCTGACTTCTTGACTTCTCCTCTCAAAGAGGAATGAGGGTTTTATACCCAGGTGCTTGGACTGGGTCAGGAAGAAATCAAGTGATTTTTTTGTGGCTCATGATTGGCCAATAAAGGAAAATCAAAGAAGTGAAAACCACTTCTTGTCCTTGAGTGAGGCTCAGTGAGTCTTGCAAAAACAGGATTTTTGCAAGGCTCACAGGCCTCAGAAATCCTACAAGTTTTGGGGTCCGGTTTCAACCGGATGCCAGAGCTGCATTGCTTTGGTCCGCAACAGGCGGGAAGCAATCTATTAATACAGGTGAACCTCAATGAGTCAAACCTCCCAAGTCAAATTCCTCCCTAAGTTGAATTTTTCAAGTCCCTGTCAGAATTCCCTTAGAATCAACATATTGAAAAACCTCCCTAACTAGAAGTCTTTTTCTCTAAAACCTCTGCAAGTTGGCTTTTCTGAGGCCTTCTGGTTATTATTTCCTTGAAATATGGAAGAGGAAATTATCAAAACAAATAACTTTGTGGATCTTGAAAAGAAGTGAAAGACTACTATAGCAAATAAACCCCTGCCTCTGCGTTCAGCAAGGTGTAAACTCATGAAGGAGCAAGTTTAGGCCCAAAATATCCTCATTTATGATTTCCCACACTTTTTTCACTTCTCCGCATTTGTTTTCACAAACAAAGGAGTTGACCTTTGGAGACTTTTAGTTGTGGAGGAGTTCAGTTTTGGAGGGATTCAGTTTCATAAAAGGACCAGAGACCCTTAAGCTGAATGTCACCAAGTTGACGTTATAAAAAAACAACACTAAAAGCATAACACAGCAAAAAGAGGAATTGATTGAATGAGGCAAATAAGCTTTTCTTACCGAGCAAACACCGACACAACAGTTTTTCCGAATATTCGAGGCTTTTGTAACTTCCAGATGCGCGTGGATCTGGCGAATCCGACGCTTTGGACAAAGATCTTGAAGCAGCTGACGGTTAGCTTCGGGACTGTGATTGACCAGGATATTTTATACATATTTTGTTTTTTCTTGTTTTAGGGAAGGTATTTATAAAGTTCTTTTGTTAAAGAGTCTTTTTTTTATCTTTCGTTCAGCTCGAAGAAATCGTATTATTTCGGCTTTAGCATGAATAAATACTGTTATACTTACGTTAGCGCAAATATGAATGACTCTAGTTCTATAGCATCGACATCAACTCATTATAGCGAAAGTTTCTTGTAGGGAAGGAGGAGAAGGAAGATGAGGATGAGGAAGGACAGGAAAGAGGAGCAGGAGGAAAAAGTGGAGGTGGAATAAAGGGAACAAATAGGGGAAGAATGAAAAAGGAAGACAAGGAGCTTCAACATTGAAATACTGTAAAGTAAGACCCCAACATGTGGACAGAATTGGTGCATCAAGAGTGTCCTGAACTCCTAATGCTGGAATGTAAGTTGAGTAAAATTTTCCCTTGGACTTCAATGCTATGTATTTAATTGGTTCTCCTTTTTGTAAAAAATTATGAGTAAGTCCTCAACAATTTTTAATAAAAATTGGTTCCCTCACCTTCAAATTGTAGAAAACAACAGTTCAGAGCAACCACATAGAATCTGATATCAAAAAGAGACCAAAAAGCAAAGAAAAAGAATAAGCCTTGCTAGAATACACACAGATGATAGAAAAAAAAACTCTGAAAAAAAAATCACAAAATCAGCTTGCTTTTGATCATGAATTAAGATTGAATTTATCATGAAATATTTTTAAATGTTGGTAAATATAAATACAGTAGCATGATTTTTTTAAATATATCAGAATTAAAAACTTAATTTTTTTAAATTTTGGGAAAATTCCAAAAAAAAGTTCCTAACTTTGTTGAGCCAATGTCTGGATGTAAGGCCTGGTTTTTTTTTACAGTTTTCAAGTATCCCTAAATCAAATCATCCATAAGTTGGGGGGTCTGCAAATATTGGGGTCTCACTGTATATATAGGCACAAAAATACACATGGAAAATACTGCTAAATACTAAATTATTTGCAAGTAATCATATTTTTTTTCAAATTTTTGAAATACCTCGAATCTTCCATGAAATGTTTACCCGAAAGGTGCTCCGTTATTTCAACAACAGCATCCAAGTCAGCAGAGGTCACAATGGGATCCGACGGATGAACTTCCCGCAAACATTCCAAGTATCCATGAATCACAAGTTCCCGGGTCGCTATAAAAAATATATTTTTCTGAATATTTTTCTCTTGTTGTCATTTATTGCCTGAAAATGTAACTTTAAAAACATCATAATAATATGCTGCGTTGAACTTGAATGAAAGCGAGCGTACAAAACAGTGGTATAATAAGTTGACTGAAGACAAGCACATTTCAAGTTTCATTTTTAAGTTCAGGAAACAGGAAAAAAAAAGGCTTCAACTGACTTTGAAACAGACTTCAAAACATATTCCGAACAGCGCTCTACAATGTTGAGAAATGTTTCACTCTACATACTTCAAATGAACTGAATTTTTAACAGCAATAATGTGCTTGCTTTCTTAAAATTGATGAAATTTCCAAGAAAAAAGGTTAAATTCCTCCGGTGTCAATGTTTAGGAGGGATTTTTCAGACATTTCACTATTTATATTTGACCTTGTACTTATTGTGTATCTTACATTTTCTTTTCTTTTTTGCTGCATTTTTTTTCTGGACAGTTGGTTTGTGTTTGAATTCAAAATCCATGATTTGTCATGGCTCTATTGGATCCCAGACAAAGGAATTGAATTGTGAAGCCATCAGAATTCAAGTTTTGAATAAGAACTCAAACTCTTTTCAGAGGAGTTCATTCTCATTGCCGAGATTGTCATTTGGCTGTTGGTTGGTTAGCTCAGAAGAATCAATGAGGTAATTTAAGTTGAAAGGCCCTTTTACACAAGATTCTCACTTCTCCTCTCAAAGATGTATGAAGGCTTTTATGCCCAGGTGCTCAGAATGGGTCAGGAAGAAATCAAGTGATTCTTTTGTGGCTCATGATTGGCCAATTTATGGAAAATCCAGGAAGTGATGACCGCTTCTTGGCCTTGGGTGAGGCTCAATGAGTCTTGCAAAAACAGGATTTTGGCAAGGCTCAGTGGCTTAAGATGCAGCAGCTGCACCACTTTGGGATGTGACAATATTATTGGTTACAGGTAGATTAAATTTCTCTCAGCATAAGTTGGGAAAATCTTCATCTTATTTCTTCCAGGTACTATTGCAGACCTGTTTGTCCTTCTCCCACAATGTTTCATCAGTGGTGCCCAACTCAAAAGTGGCCAAGGACCACATCAAAAAGCAAGCCTTCTCTGTGGGCAACAGTGGAGGAAATAAATTAACTCCTCTACAATTTTCAAAATTTTTGACCTTTTTGAATTTAAAAAGTCAACAAGTTGTTCGATTTTTTTCAGCAAGCTTATGGCAATTTCAGTTTTATCAAGTCTTTGTGTTAGGACTCAAAATGCCGATAAAAATCATATCCCTTAGAAACTGAATTGTTTCAACAAAAAAAGGCAAAGCATCAGGCCACTGAAGATTGTAAATAAATATTTGTTTGTCCATTATTTGTCAAACACTCTGCATTCATTGTCAATTTTTTCATGCCACTGCTTCCAGCCATTTTTTATTGAAGCCTGTGTTCAATGAAAAATGGTGTTGAATGAGAACTGCGGGGCAGTTGGGAGACCTCTGCGGGCCAGATCTGGCCCGCGGGCCGTACCTTGGGCACCCCTGATGTTTCATTGTTTTGATAAAGAGTCAAAATATAGATGTTGAACACCAGGAACTTACTGCGAACAAAGCTGGCACGACTCATGCCCGGCAGGATCCGGAACAAGAGTCCGAGGTTGAAGGAGGAGCCAATAACCGCTGCGCACTTGATTTTCTAGAACTTCGTCGACTGCCAATCGAAGCCCTGACACTAACTGGTCCTATAAAATATGTATAAAACAAAAAAGAACAAAATCCCTTCCATAAATATTTCAAGAAAACAATTTCTCAGAAAAAAAGATCTTTCGTTCACCTCGAAGAAATCGTATTATTTCGGCTTTAGCATGAATAAATACTGTTATACTTACGTTAGCGCAAACATGAATGACTCTAGTTCTATAGCATCGACATCAACTCATTATAGCGAAAGTTTCTTGTAGGGAAGGAGGAGAAGGAAGATGAGGAAGGGCAGGAAAGAGGAGCAGGAGGAAAAAGTGGAGGTGGAAGAGGTGGAATAAAGAGAACAAATAGGGGAAGAATGAAAAAGGAAGACAAGGAGCTTCAACATTGAAATACTGTACAGTAAGACCCCAACATGTGGACAGAATTGGCGCATCAAGACTGTCCTGAATTCCTGATGTTGGAATGTAAGTTGAGTCTCATTTTTCCTTAGACTTCAATACTGTACTACGTATTTAATTGGTTCTCCTTTTGTTGAAAATTATAAATAAGTCCTCATAAATGTTTAATAAAAATTGGTTCCCTCAACTTCAAATTTTAGAAAACAACTGTTCAGAACAACCACAAGGAATCTGATCTTTTGGTATCAAAAGGAGACCAAAAAGCAAAGAAAAAGAATAAGCCTTGCTAGAATACACACAGATGATAGAAAAAAAAAACTCTGAAAAAAAAAGAATCACAAAATCAGCTTGCTTTTGATCATGAATTAAGAGTGAATATATCATTAAATGTTTTTAAAATATTTTTGAATAAAAATACAGTAGCTTGATTTCTTTGAAAGATAGCAAAATTAAAAAATGAAATTTTTAAATTTTGGGGGAAAATGAAAAAAAAGTGTCCCCGACTTGAGCCAATATCTGGATGTCCGGCCTGATTTTTTTTTGGTTTTCAAGTGTCCCTAAATCAAATTGTCCATAAGTTGGGGCGTCTGCATATTCGAGGTCTCACTATATATAAGCACACAAACCCATAACAAAATACGCATGGAAAATACTGCTGAATAATGAATTATTTGCAACTAATTAATTTTTTCAAATTTTTGAAACACCTCGAATCATCCATGAAATGTTTACCCGAAAGGTGCTCTGTTATTTCAACAACAGCATCCAAGTCAGCAGAGGTCACAATGGGATCCGACGGATGAACTTCCCGCAAACATTCCAAGTATCCATGAATCACAAGTTCCCGGGTCGCTATAAAAAATATATTTTTCTGAATATTTTTCTCTTGTTGTCATTTATTGCCTGAAAATGTAACTTTAAAAACATCATAATAATATGCTGCGTTGAACTTGAATGAAAGCGAGCGTACAAAACAGTGGTATAATAAGTTGACTGAAGACAAGCACATTTCAAGTTTCATTTTTAAGTTCAGCAAACAGTGAAAAAAAGGGTTTCAACTGACTTTGAAACAGATTTCAAAACATATTCCAAACAGTGCTCTTGCAAAACAATGTTTCACTTTACATGCTTCAAATGAACTTTTTAACAGCAATAACATGCTTGCTTTCTTAAAATTGATGAAATTTCCAAGAAAAAAGGTGAAATTCCTCCTGTGTCAATGTTTTGGAGGGATTTTCAGACATTTCACTATTTATATTTGACCTTGTACTTATTGTGTATCTTAAATTTTCTTTTCTTTTTGCTGCGTTTTTTTCCTTGACAGTTGGTTTGTGTTTGAATTCAAAATCCACAATTTATCATAAGTCCATTGGATCCCAGACAAATGAATTGAATTGTGAAGCCATCAGAATTCAAGTTTTGAATAAGAACTCAAACTCTTTTCAGAGGAGTTCATTCTCATTGCCCAGATTGTCATTTGGCTGTTGGTTGGTTAGCTCAGAAGAATCAATGAGGTAATTTAAGTTGAAAGGCCCTTTTACACAAGATTCTCACTTCTCCTCTCAAAGATGTATGAAGGCTTTTATGCCCAGGTGCTCAGACTGGGTCAGGAAGAAATCAAGAGATTTTTTGTGGCTCATGATTGGCCAATTTATGGAAAATCCAGGAAGTGATGACCGCTTCTTGGCCTTGGGTGAGGCTCAATGAGTCTTGCAAAAACAGGATTTTGGCAAGGCTCACTGGCCTTGAGATGCAAAAAAGTAGCTGGATGCAGCAGCAGCACCACTTTGGGATGTGACAAGATTATTGGTTCAAGGTAGATTAAATTTCTCTTAGCATAAGTTGAGAAGATCTTCATTTTATTTCTTTCAGGAACTATTGTCAACCTGTTCATCCTTCTCCCACAATGTTTCATCAGTGGTGCCCAACTCAAAAGTGGCCAAGGACCACATTAAAAAGCAAGCCTTCTCTGTGGGCCACAGTGGAGGAAAAAAATTAACTCCTCTACAATTTTCAAAATTTTTGATGTTTTTGAATATTAAAAGTCAACAAGCTATTTGATGTTTTTCAGCAAGCTTGTGGCAATTTCAGTTTTCTCAAGTCTTTATGTTAAGACTCAAAATGCCAATAAAAATCATATCCCTTGGAAACTGAATTGTTTCAACAGAAAACAAGGCAAAGCATTTTGCCACTGAAGGTTGTAAATAAATATTTGTTTGTCCATTCTTTGTCAAACACTCAGCATTCATTGTCAATTTTTTTATGCCACTGCTTCCAGCCATTTTTTATTGAAGCCTGTGTTCAACGAAAAATGGTGTTGAATGAGAACTGCGGGGCAGTTGGAAGACCTCTGCGGGCCAGATCTGGCCCGCGGGCCGTACCTTGGGCACCCCTGATTCTTTATTGTTTGAATTAGAGTCAAAATATAGATGTTGAACACCAGGAACTTACTGCGAACAAAGCTGGCACGACTCATGCCCGGCAGGATCCGGAACAAGAGTCCGAGGTTGAAGGAGGAGCCAATAACCGCTGCGCACTTGAGGTAATGAAGTTGAACCGGGCTCACGAAGTCCAAGGACAATTCAGTCAAGCCTTTCCAATAATTCGAGTTAAGTCATGTGAGTGCCATTATGAGACAATAAATGCTTTTACATCGTCTTTGCAACACGGCAGTGGAAACAGAAACAAGTCACTTGAGCACGTATAACGCATTATTCCCAGCACGACGACTATAATGGTGGAAGGTACAAGTTCATTTAGCTCTCGAAAAATCGATGCTTATATTTTGAGAGTCATTGCCAAGAGCGTTCCGCTCAAATATGGCATATTTGCATAATTTTCATACGGGAAAATCATGGGGAATTCCTGGAAAAATTGATTTCTATGCAAGTAAAACTTCAAACAGCAGCTTTGACACTCACTTTGAATAGAATCCGGGGGCTCAAATACTTCCAAAGCCAATGTTTCCCGTGCTACAACCACGCGGTCCAAGCTTAGAGCTTGCTGAATCACATTGAACTACAAAAAAAAAAATAATAATAAAAACAGACAGAACACGAAACATTAAAAGAATAAGAATTAATCATCAGATGCGATTTTCTTACGCATTTGCGTGGGAAAGTTAATGGATTGAGTTACAAAATTATTTTCCACAGTCTGTACGCACACCGATTCTTTCTCAAAAACAACCATCTTTTCCACAGGAAAACCGTGGGACATGAGACTCAAAAATCAATCAACAAATGGATTCTTCCAGCGAAAATCCACGACAAAAATGACACGAGACTTCGAAGAAATTTGAACAAGAATCAGTTTGAAAAAAAGGCTGCTGTGTGAAAGGTGAGATCGTAAAATGTAGTACTGTACAGAATAAAGCTGATGAATGAATCAAATACGATTTTCTGCCCCATTTGCGTGGGAAAATAAATGGAGTGAGTTTCAAAAATCACTTCCATCAGTCTAATTATTCCTGCACAAAAAATTTTCAAAAGCAACTTTTCCTGAGAAAAACTGACGGGAGATGAGTCAACAAAAATTAATCATTCGAATGGATTCTTTCAGTAAACATCCGCGACAAAAATGATGCAAGACTTTGAAAAAAATTGAGTGAGAATAAAAATACTTTTATTTGAAATTTTAAAAAGTACAGCACAAATATAATAGATAAATCAGATGCTATTTTCAGTATCATTTCCGTCGGAAAATCAACGGATTGGGTTTCAAAAATATTTTTCCTGTCTATAAACATACAATTTTCATAAACAATCATTTCTCATGAAAACTGATGGCGATTATGAGTCACGAAAATCAATCTTCCAAATGGACTCTCACAGCAAAAAATCAACGCGCTGCGAGAATTTCAACTATAATTTAATTATGAATCACTTTTCAGCAAGACAGCTATTCAAAAAATCTCACGGTCGAAGTTGGCGATGCGAAAAATTGACGATCTAAAGAATTCATCGGCGAAGGCATGGGAGCCAAAGTAATGTTCTCCACGGGACTGATGGTGAAACCTTCATGAATGCCCTGAAAAACTGGCTGAAAGCCCGAAAAAAATATACTTCGAAAAAATTAAAAGCCAAAAGAAAACCCTTGGATTTAAATTATTACAAAAAATCATTCAATAGAAAAAAGGAAACTGACGCAGCACCTGCAACTTGGAAGCATCTCCGAAATCCAAGTCTTCGACGTTGCTTTCGTGAATGCTGACGAAATTGAGGCTTTTGTGGGCCAAAAGTTGCTTCAGAACAAGCTCACAAATCGCTCCATTCCCACCAGAAACTTTCCTCAGGAGGCTTTCGAGAAAAAGACATAAAATATTCATCACTTTAAAAGAATATGCGGTGGGAGAGATGAACAGGAAGTCAAATTTTCAGGAATAACGGGAACATTTAATACGATGTGGTCGATGCATTTTTCAATTCTGAGAAGAAAGTTCTCTGGTGCAACTTTTTTCTCGACTGGCAAACGTACCAAAGGACTTCGATGTGCCAATTTCTAAAATATATTATCCATTCTAAGTCGTCAAAGTCCATTCAAAATAAAAGACAAGAGTAAAAAGTATTCTCCTAGCTTCGAAGGATTTAGACAGCCATTTTTGCGCGACACATATATCGAGAAATAACTTTCTTTCAGGAATCCTGTTGAGAACATGAAATCAACATGAAAGCTCCTGGAAAACTTCCAGTATGATAAAGGATCAGGGGTGTCTAAAAAAATCGCAGGGAATTCGGTGAATATTTTCTTTTTGAAGTTCGATGGTTATCTTACAGCCTCAGCATCTCAAAAAGTTTTCTCCGAAATATTCGAGTACAGCAACGTCCGAAGAAAACTTTTTTCGTCGGCGGTCAGTCTTATGGAAACACTGTCAAAATTTTTAAAAGTGCAGTCAAATGATTTGTCTATAAATTTGCAATTCATGAGTATAGGAGTTTCCGCACTTTTCAGATAATTTTGACATATGTATGATCGGTTTGATTCTGTGTGAAAGATAAATTTCGCCTTAATCATGATAGCGATTCATCTCGAAGTAAAGAATTTGTACATAGCGAATTAAAATAAATGCATAAAAATATTCAACTATGGATTTTTCGAGTTGAACCTGAACTTTTACTGCCATATAAGTGTAGTTCAAAAAGAAATAAGCCAACTTCCCTCCATATGAGTGAGTTATTTCAGGCTAGAATCTTCAATTCTCAAATGAAATATGCGAATTCTTTTACCGCTGAATTGTGGCTTTTTTCCCTCTAGTGAGTATTTCACGGAAGAAGTAAACATTTCCAACAAACAAAAAAATAAAAAAATGGTAAGTGGATTCACTCGTTCTACATCGATCTTTTTCAAAACGAATTTTTCTGCATTTGGACCAATGAGGTTCTATCCTCATGTTTTAAAGGCTGTCTACGAAAACTAAAATCAATTGTTTCTGGTCACTTGAATTTTGGAATTAGAGAGAGAGAGTTCACCTATATAATTGTAATTTTAGAGCTTCATTTAAAAGTGTTTAAAGATACCGTATCTAGTTTATTCCTTCACTTATACTCTGAGTGATTTCTATTAATCTGACAAACAGGGATCTTCTCATTATTTTTTTATAAGAATTAATAAATGGCAGTTACTTAAGAATCATGCACCCTTGCGTAAGGAATGTCAGGAATAAATCCTCAACAAATATAGATGTTAGGGAAAAAGGGTTGAATTTAAGATTATTTATAAAAATGAAACAACAGTATTTGGTCAGGCTGCAACCAGGGTGAAAAATCACCATACTTTGAAGTTGTTGTACTTTGAGAATGTTCAAATCACACACAAATGGTTTTATGCATTAAATCTTTGAGTGAATCACACAAGAGCTCAAATGAAAGAGAAGTTTTCTTGCCAAATTTAGAAAACAGGAAAACTGTCCTCCAAGGATGAAAAACAGCAACAGGATTTTGGCAATAAAATACAGCCTTGAAGGCTCTGAAAGAAACGTGAGAACCAAGGTCTTCCTTGATCCTCACAGAGATGAATGAAGACAAGTTTACTGCAAATTTGGGTTCTCAGATTTTGTGCAACAAATTGAAGGCTACCATTTATTTTTGCAACAAGGAACACAAAATCATTAATCAGCCAAAATCTGGGAGAAAATATCTGAGTAAGATGAGAAACCAATTTTCTTAAGACTAAATATATAAAACTCTCAAAACAATAAAATCTTTCAACAAGAAAGCCACCCTCAAGAGCCATTCCTATAATAATAAAATGCGATTAATATGACTTATATCGAGGGACCTTGAAAATTAATTCTTTCCAGGAAGAATTTGTTGGGATGAGAGTTTTTGTCACAAGATTCTGCTGCTTTTTGATTGCTCTATTATGACAGTTACTGTAATTCAAAACTCTATTCCTCACCAATTTCTCATCAGCCTTATCAATTCATCCTCAGCAACGGATTTATCATATACCTCTTTTTATGTCTTTACTGCTGGAAAACAAGAAAATAAACTTTCCGTCCATTAAAAAAAAATAACGGAAATATTTTAATCTCCGTATACGTACATGCTTCCCCAATTTTGAAATTCCACACCAATTATGATGGGCATCAACCCCATCGCCTATTGCATATATACACATCAAGAGAGATGCTCCTTTCGAATCGAGCTAAACTTATTATTGCGCGTTAAATTTCCGCAGAACTCACTCGAGAAGGCCTGTGGAGATTGCTCGGGCCCTGAGCAGCTGACAGGCCACGGTCACGAGATCCCGTTTGCCCAGGGGTCCCAGGGTGTGCAGGGTAACCCGGTCATCCAGGGTTCTACTTCCCATCACCGAAAAGAGTCGCTGCAGGCCCGCTGGGATCTCGTCCGGCTGCGAACCAGATGACGACCCGAATCCGAGAGGACTCACCGAGAACACTGCCAATATTGGAACCGGAAGTTCCCTATATAATAATAATAATAGGAGAAAAAAAGAAATGAGAGAAAAGAAAGGCCACTCAAATGTTGTTTAAAAGCGTTTTTATCGGAGGGCAAATAAAAACCGATTCTGGGATCGAATTCCCACAGAAAAAGATGAAGAGGAAAAGGTCAGACCACCCAGATATGTTCTTTAAAAACTTTGTATTACATCCTGGGATCGATTTTCATCAGGAACCAGTTTTCAGGAATCTTCATCCAGTCCTCTTGGATCTTTCCTATTTTCATGTTGATTCCACCGGGAAAATATCATTTATTTATCCGGGGAGAAAATAGCGGAATACTCAAATTTTTTTGAAAATATATCATTTCAGACAATTGAAAATTTAGCGATAACATTTTCACCAGGAACCGGTTTCTCGAAATCATGAACCACTTCTCCTGGATATTAAATATCTCTTTTCATCATTGATTTTACTGTGGCAACGTTGAAAATGAAAAAAAAAAACTTCGGAAAAATCTCACGTCAATCAAATGATTTTTAAATGCACTTAATTTGGGAAACTTCAGATTCAGTGATCACATTTTCGTAAAGAACCTGTTCCTGGAAGCTTTAAATCACTCCTGGGCATTTTTTTTTAAACTCTCATCGTTGATTTCACGGGGGTAAGTTGAAAAAAATCAGCCTATTTATAGCTTACCCCTGCACAACTACAGTACTCTGAAATATAAACAGGAATTTTTTCTTTATATATCTACTTTTATTAAAAAAAATCAGATAACTTTATTTTTGGGCAAATCGCGCACTATGAAAAGTGGTTGACGAAGTTGATTAGATATGTTCCCCGTCTTGAGACAAGTTCAACTTAATTTTGAGGCTGATCTGGTTCCGAAAAGAAAATCACCATACAGTTTTTCCCAGAGCCCCACGAATGATGTTACAGAAAGTTTTCCGTCTTCTCTGGGCTGCGAAACTTTAAAAATATCAAGGGAAAACTTTATCCAGCGGAGCTAAATTTGTATTTCACTGTATATTTTTGCAACAAGACTAAACAATGCGAAACCTGATTCAAAAATCTCAAACACAGATGCATTGAAATTAAAAATGATATGATTTAGATGATAAGATTATTCAGGTTATCCAAGACTGAGTTCGTTCCATCCATGAATAAATTTCAGCGTTGAATTTAGTCTGGCATCTATTGATTGCTCGAAAACATCTTGTTAGCATATTCCCAATGCAAGAAAAAAAATGCATGCGAAAAATCATCGGGAAAATGACGAAAATACAGAGAAGGGAACTTGTTATTTGCCTCAACTCCAAAGACGGAACCCGTGTATACATTCCTTTCACTGCTGCTGCTGCTGGAGATGGTTATACCTACTCAAAGTTGAATTCAACGAAGTCTATAGTCTCGTGTAGGGTGGGGGGGGGGGGGGGCTGAGCATTTGAATATCTCGAGCAATCAGATATATTGATTTCTGACTGAAAGAAAGAGTGAGCATCAAAAGAGCGGGAAATGCGACCCTCACCGTTCGTAAACAGCGGAAATGAAGCGGAGCGACATGTCGTCAAGCAGCAACGCGTCGTCGATCCCGATTACGACCCCTTTCGGAGCCCGTTTCGCAACTGCCTGTTCAAATGTATGTGTATTCCTATACTTGCGTATAAAAACAGGAGATGCCCGGCCACACCTGGGCATCAACTTTTTTTTTTAATGGGTAGAAAATCTAGAAATATTCAAGTTTCAATCTATTGTCAATCAGGATCACATGCTATTCAAGTGTTACCAACATATAGGTCACAATTTTCTCATCAGCAGGGTTTTTGTTTAGTACATTCCACACGGATGTAGATGTTTGCTACAGCAGATGCAACAGCACCAGGACATTTTGTTGGTTATGATGTTATGATTGAAAATGGGTTTCCCCCATTTTCAACACATTTTTATTATCTCGCTTTCTTGTCCGTTTGTTTGTCCGGATAAAATTTCACCAGGGTTCCAGGATTGATTGTACCATAATTACCGTAAGGAAGGCTATTGTGACTAATCATGAGAAGTTGTCAAGACTTCTCATAAAGGAAAAGGAAGCAATTATCTATGCTTCCATGATTTCCATTTCTAGGCTTTCTAAATGGTTTCTTCTGGAACTACCAAAAAGGGTATTCTGTAAGTTAGTGTATTTCTAAGATAATACTTTTTCAAAACGTGGTTTTTTAGATTAATTTTTTAGAAAGTTGTTTCAATTGAGCTTTATACATAATGTTGGGGAACCAGAGCTTGGGCTCAGGGATGTCACTTCCCAGGACCTGAATTCTGGTCCCATTTTCTTTTGTGCATTCACAAGTGTGATTGACAAGAGAAATGTGTCTTTGACTCACATTCATTTTGTCAATCACAGGCAGGAAAAAAGGTTGTGGGCTTCGGTCAGCTGACCTGACCAAAGCATACAGCTGAAAATGTATAAAAATCCAGCACTTTTCAACCCTAAAAAATTCTGTACCTTCATTTAGCTCTTACAGTAAACATCCCTGATAAATACAATCAACACATTTTTGCTTTTGTTATTGTATTGTGATATTGCACCCTGAATTTGCGCAAAAATTCAGGGTTGTATTCATTGAATGTGTGTTGCATTAATGCATGTATTGTGATATATTATTGTGTTGTACCGTGATTTCTTGTGGACAGTGATTAAACCAGACACAACTAAGAACCTGCAATTAAGATACCCCCTTGATTACATATTTCAGGCTGCCAACTGGCTGATTGCCATATCTTGTTATTTCTCACCATTCTCTTCCACTTTGCTATGGTTCAATTCTTTATGTTGGGTTTATTCATTCCTCAACACCGTGAAACCTTATCAAAAATTTCCAACATGAACCTGGGTTCGGAGGACCCTATTTACATAAACAAAATCACTACATTCCATCCCAAGAAATATTCTCGCACCACCTGACGGGGGAACGAGTCTATATCACGTTCTGCATACACTTCAAAGGGACGCCTGACGTTCTTAGCTGAGCAAAAAATCGATGATCCACAGGATACATGTTTTCTGCGGGTATTTTGTTTTACTTAAGTTTGAAAATACGACAGGAAACGAAAAAAACACTTCTTCTATAGGGTAACTTGAATAACTTGCGTCTTAAAAGCTCTAGTTTGTTCAGAATAGAGATTTCTGCCAGAAAAATTGTGAATATGCGAGTGAATCAGGGTTTTAAAAAATAACTCGGAACAAAATTGCAGCTTTGACTAAAAATAAATACAGTATAAATTTTGGTTAAAGCATAAAGAAAATGTTTTTCGGTTATATTTTCATCTATTTTTGCCCGTCTATATAAAAAAGGAAGAATAATTCGCTTCGAAAATCTCCAGAGCTCAAAATTATGTGAAAGCATTTCAACTGTATTGAAAAGCGTCGCAAACATTACTGTTTAATGTTTTTCCAAGCAAAACATTGCGTTAGAATACTTAATACCTATATAGACAACAACAACAATTCTGAAAATCCAGGTTTTCAGAAAATGACATCAGCAGCAGAAAAAAAATTAAAATCGCCATAAGAAAAATTGCTAACAAACCTTCGCGAATATTTCAATCAACAGTTGAAGAGCCCGATCTTGTCGCCTGGCCACGTCATGGGCCCAGGTTGCCATTTTCACCGGGAACCGCAACCCGAGCACTTCATTCAGCACCCAAAGACTGTCGGCATATCCATTGACAGCTGCTGCCGACACTGTCGACGTGGATTGTATCGCTGTCGACACTTCGTTTTCTTGCAGCTGTTGTCTTTCGTCATTTATTCTCGTTCTCTGGGCTGCTGCGGGTTCTGGCGAATCGGGAACAATTCCCAGCAACGAGACAATCACATCGTTTCTGGCCTGAAAATGAAAACCAGGTAAAATTAAATTTTTTTTGAAAATTAAAATGCTGCTGAAAAAAGAACCGACAGGAAAACCACTTCTGAAACCTTTGTAAAGAGTTATTCTTCTGGACACATTGCATTAAACTGTGAAAATGTGAGGACTGATGCAGGAATTTTTACAATTAAACGATGATTCCTTCAGAGACGCATTGTCTATTGATTTATTAATAGGTAAATTCTGATGTACAGTGAGACCCCCACATGCGGACACCTCGACCTGCGCACGATTCGACTTAGGGTCACTTTCTGTCCAATTAAAAAAGCCCTGACATGCTGACTCAACCTGCGGACATTGAAATTTTAGGTAAATCAACTTTTTAAGGCCAAATTACAAGAAACAGATATTCAGAACCATAGGATGGTAAAATCTATGAATAAAAATTGGTTGGGAATTCTGCATCCTTTTCCCATCCATTTAGCTTATTAAAAATTACCTCAATCATAGAGATTCTAAAGAGAGAAGGGATTTCCTTCTCTCTTTTTGATCAATTTAATTTTTACAAGAAATGCTAAATTCTCAATGCTCAATACTGCACAGAGGTCCAGCATTTTTCCCTGGGTATTTTTCCCTGGATGTTCCTCAGAAACTGTTAAAAAACATTATTCTCAAGTTTCTGCTTGACAAAGTGCTTTCAAGAAGGCATGAAAGAAAATTGCGCTTTTTCTCACAGTGTCACTAAATGAAAGTCTGCTCTCTGAATCAAAAACATGGCAGCAGTTGTTGTGTGAAAAATCTGCTAAAACCGGACATTTATTTTGCTTTAAAATCGCAACCAGTTCCAGTGATGCCAATTGAATCTCAAAATTTAGACACCGTCCTTCATTCATATACTCGTCACAACTCCGCGTAATTCACTCTCCTCTGTTATAATCTACTTAATATCAACACAAAAGGGGGGCATATAGTCAATTACAAGCTCCTTGCTAATTTGCAGGAATTAAACCCGGCGAAATGCAGAATTGATGCAATTATACAGTACAGTACTGAACTGTACCAGAAATTCCGCCGTTGGTGTCTCCTTTTTTTGTAAGCAAAAAAAATTCCCATATTTTCTGCAGAAAATCTCTGGGATGCTGTCAGGGAAGAACTTACCTTAACATAAATATGTTTGATTTTTTGCTAGTGGATCAATAAATTTACTGAATAAAGTAAAGTTTGAAAATATTTGGAAATGAAAGTCAGAATCAGCCTGGGACAAGGCCAGGAATCCTTTTTGGACTTCCGACTTTAAATTATAGTAATTTGTATTTCTGATTTTGTCCCACAATTTTCACACAAACAATAAATTAACAACACAACACTCAACAGAACTCCACAATAATTTGTAGATATTTTGCGATTTTGGCAAATGTGCACAGTTCAAAAGTTCCATTTGAAGTGTTCTGGAGAATTTCGTTCTTGGGTGAATACTCAGGAGCAGCAGAAAAAAAACTAGTTTTTCATTGTTATTTTTATGTAGTTATCCTTTGTGAGTTCCTTCCCTTTGAGGGTTGGAACTCTTATCAGATTTTCGTGGTTTTTTATAATTCATTTTAATTTAATTTTAGCATTGTTCGGTGTGCGGCAGTTTTCCAACTGTGCGAGAAATTTATTCCTCCAGGAGCCGCGGTTATCAGACGAACCTTACTGAACAGTATAAGGAACCCCTCGATATACCCATTTATTTTTCATTTTTTTGCTGCGAGATAAATCAGGAATGAAAGCAGGAAAAATTGGTAGAACCTGTTGGTGTATTGTTGAACTGAGTCCTGTAATGGCTTCGATCAAGTATCGAGCCCCAGAAAAAGAGGAAGTTGGACGTCGGGCCGAGAATCCGACGGAAATGCATCCCATTTCAAACGCGCGTCGCACTATCGATTCGATGATCCTCGTTTTCCCTGTTCCGTGTTGACCTGATTTGAGGTCGAAGGAAAAAAAGGGAAGTAATTTAGAATACAACATTCACTTTCTTTTATTCGGAGATGATCCTATAGAAATTCTTCCGTGTAGTCTCGCAAATGTTTCAGCTGAGGGAAAAATTACTGGCAGCATGATATTTCATACTCGCATTCATGTTTGAATATTAGGATTTTAGATGACCGAAAAAAATGCGGATATTTCGAGCAATAATGCAGAGCAAAAGACAACATTTTTAATTTTAAAAAATGTAGATACTAGAAATCAGGCAAAAATTTACTCCTCAAAAAATACCAAAAAATGAAAACCATAAAGAGAATTGATTTTCGAAAGCAATATACATTTCGAAATTTCCGAAATGAAGTTGAGATGAATCGACGAATGTCTTGGTTCTTTTTCCCATGAGTCCTAATTCTTTGGTCTCTGAAACTATTATAAAAAGAAAATAAATTACTATTTTATCCTAACTCAATTTCTTCAATATTTCAGAACTCTCTTAAGTCATCTGAGAACTCCATTATTAGTAGTCTTGCCGCAATGAGTGAAAGCTGAATGATTTTGCTAACCTTCAATAACATGCAACAGGGGCTCGTAAGGTTCTTCCAACATTTTTGAGCGAGGATACTTAATTTGACAACTCAATTTTCCAGCGTAATCAATCAATTCAGCAATGGATCGCTGAGTCGCTTCCAAAATCGCAGTTCGATTCACGATCGGGAACAAAAACTTGGGCAAATTTCCAGTCTGCGGACCGAGTCTGAATCAAGAAAAAAGATTTGGCACTTTCTAAAAATGTTAGTATAATTTTATCACCGATATTCGATCAATTTTTTTCATAATACGGCAATTCCATGCGATTTCATGTCTCCCAGGACGAGGATAAATTTTTGCCGTTATGCCACTCCATTTCGTTGAATATGAGGTGATTTAAATTTTTAGATAAGACACTCAAAAATTCACCGCATAAAAAAAATTTCTACACATAAAGCTCAAAATTTATCAGTGAAAAAATGACAATGTGTGATTTTCGATTATAGGCTTTGTTGGGATAGAAGAAAAACTCATTTAAACCCAAAGGTTGATGAATTCAGGAAAAAATTTCCAAAAAAAAAAGATAACTCACGTGAAAGTTGGATTAAATTGAAAAATTCGTCCTGGATGAGCTACTCCCCTAAGTCGCTTTGCTGGTAGGAGTTTGAAACTGTCATGGCCGTGCATTGCAAGTGTCATGGACTCCTCATCGCAGGAAACAACCCCCGGGTAATTTGCCATTAACCTGGCAGCCATATTCACCTTGGCCCCAATTACTGTGTACTCTTGCCTTTGTCTGTGACCCACAACTCCACAATAGCACACTCCTGAAAAAAATAAATAAATTATGAGGTAGTTAATAACTTGTATTTGTTGGGGAACTAGAACTGTGGGACCCAGAGACTTCAGGTTCCAGGACCTGAATTCTGATCCCATTTTCTTTTGTGCATTCACAAGAAGTGGATGCTACTTCTTTGAATCACATTTCTCCTGTCAAACGCAGACAGGGAAAAGTTGTGTGCTTTGGTCAGCTGACCTGCAAACATATAAAATCCCATCCCTTAACCACTCTCAAAAAGTCTGTCTTTTCATTAGCTCTTACAGTAAATATCCCAGCTGATGCATTTCAAACCCATTTTGCTTGTATTATTGCATTGGGATATTGCACCCCAAATTTGTGTGCACAAATTCATCCTTGTATTGAGTGCATGTTTGCTGCATTATTGCATGTTTTGAGATAAATTGTTTTATTGTATTGTGATTTCTTGTGGACTGTGATTAAACCTGACAAAACTAGGTATATGTAATTAAGGTGATCCCTTAATTACATATCCTTGGCCACAACCTGGCTCATTGCCCTACCGTGTTACTTGTTACCATTTTTCCCCACGCTGCGTTGTGGTTCAATTCTTTTATGTTGAGTTGATTAATTCCTCAACAGTATTACGGCAATAACTTTAGATTCAATTACAAACAAAGCTTATCATTCAAGAGTTTGAAATGTACTTATCACCAGGAGCATGAATAATTGACACCACACATACACTCATTCAAAATATTTTAAGGTAAATAGAAACCAATTATAAATTTATAATCTTTCATGGCCTCTTAGTACATCCTAACATCCCATTTCAAAATTTCAATTCATTACCAGTCCCATTTGTTATGGATATATGTTTCTAAATTAATTGTTTAGCTATTTCAGGATAACTCTCTAGTATAATCTTCAAACACAATTTTAAAGATGAGTTTCCCCCCAAATAATCAAGGCATCTCGTCATACTCGTATGTATAGTAAAAAAAATCCGCTTGTAAAATAGGATTTAAGAATATCCTGTAAGACTAAAGCTGTTTACCCCAATAATATCGCAATGGAAACTGCAGATAAAGCATGAAAAATGTAATTTTTGTAATGAATACAGTATAAACATTTTGATCTGACAAGGTGTTTTAAAGCCTTATATTGCGTCTATGCAATTCAATTCGGGACTGCTGGGAAAATCATTCCTTCCTTCTAATAAAAACTTCCGTTACGAAGACATTTGGCTTCAAACCATTTTGAAGGATCCAAGACTTTTAATTCACCTGACGTGATTCCGACTGAAATCCTTTCGTGATCAACCAGCAACATTGACAATTCTCGCCAAATTCTTGCTGCAGCTTCCAGAGCATGTGAAACTTCATCCTTGCGTCTGCATCCATGCAAGCCAAACAAGCACATGAAACACAAGCCAGTTGTTGTCGAGAACATTTTGTTGACACTGCCTTCCAGCTCGTCCACGATTCTGTCATCGATCGTTGATAAAATTAAATCCTTCTGCCAGCAAATATTTGTTTCATTTGCATACTACTGCATTATTGTAGGAACCCTTCTTGCTCGGATAAAAAAATTTAAAATTCTTCGTGAATATGAGTGCATCCAAACTGTGAATAATGCAAGCGCTCTCGACGTAACCAAATTTAAATGAATGAAACGATGAGAAGGTCATGAATGTTCAAACGCAATTTAAAAAATTGATCGAGAGAAAAATCGGTTAAATTTCCATCAGCTTCCGAATCAAGAAGTCCAGTTATTTTTTAAAAATTTTTGAGTGTTCTTGTAAATTGTGAATCCGAAGTAATTTTTTCAAATCGTGGTCTCATGCAGTGCTTGAGAAAAAAAAACACCCGACCTGATTTATGCTCGATTTATTTTCTATTCGATAAATCAGTCAAATTACTTTATTTTCAAAATAAAAAACATTGAAATAGTTTCCATCACAACTCGATGAGCACCCTACTAGAATTAAAAGAACACACCTGTCTTTAAGTGTCCCTTCGCTTCGTTTAATTTATAGCGAACCTTTATATAAATTACTGCAACTCCTTTTGTAGGAGGGACCAAAACCATGCAACAAAATAATTTTTTGTCCGATTCTTTAACGACGTTTAAGACTACAGCATATTTCTTCCCAGAAGAGATGAAGCAATTTTTCGTTCTACAGTTAGCGAAAATCGTGTTACTCTTCATGCATTCGACACAAATAATTTGACACGCGCAAGAATTCCCGACTATTTATAGTCCACAGAATATCGTATCCCCGAAACATTTGCAGGATTCATGACCTAATAAATCAGAAGGAAAAACGTGAACCTCGCGACAATTTCCAGCGAAATGTCAATCAATGCGTCAACCCCGTCGTCAATTCCTGGAAGTTGCTCTTGCGTCACCGACAGCGACACAAAAATTGTTTCCACCCGACGCAGCTCAGACATGAACGTCAATGACAACCGCCCGTCAAGCTTGATGTAACAGCAAAATTACCATGATTTTTTAAAATTAAATGTTACTTCATGACACATAGACAAAACGATGAAAATCTGAAAAATAATTCTTCAGATACCTATATTCATATCAGTGTTACCAAACCCCGTGGTCCGCGGACTGGCAGAATTTTTTTGCTGGTCCGCAGAAAATGTTCTTTGGAATAATTAATTTTTCAAAAGTATATAGCAATGAAGTCTGTTATCTTTGTCTGAAATTTTCGAAAGACAATGGCAGTTGAAATTATCTTATGAACAACAAAAGTTTGCTTTTCTCCTAATAATACTTTGGTCAAATTTGCACTTGCTGAATTTAAATTATGTAAAATTTTCCTTCAGAGTAACCCTTTCTTTAAGTCTACCTTTCTTATGTCTTGAAGACGCTCCACTAAAGCAGTTTCATTGGTAGAATTTAACTAAAAACGTTTTTATAAGTCTCTGAAAATCTTATGGACGGTTTTACAGAAAGTTTGTTTTTGAATAAAAAAATCAGACGTTTTTAGAATAATGTAAAACGACTACCCGACGTCTTTTTTTTTTTGGAAGCTTGCCAGTGTGTAAAAAGGATTACAGTACAGGAATTTTCTGGTCCACAAGCCCAAAAAGGTTAGAGAACACTGCTTTATTGGGTAAAGCTAAATAAAACAATACCCTGCGGAGAGACCTTCATACTTATCCTAAAAATAGCATTGATCAGCGTTCCCATTCAGAGCAATACAAGTTTTTCTTGCGTAAGCGGTAGATGTCACTGGCTGTCAGAGAGGAATTGGAATCTTTCATTGCCTCGTCATCGCAATTTAGGTCTCTGCTTTCGTAAATAGTTTCCCCAAATTCGAACAATCATGGCAAATAAAACAAAACAAAACATTATGGTTAATTTTTCCTTTTACATAATAAATTCGGCTCCGGATTTTTTGTTTTTTTTGTTCCAAGCAAATTTTTGATCGTCAGCATACTAGGAAAATTCCGTAAAAATTTTGATGCTACGATGCAAGTTTACACACAACGAACGCATCTTGCTTTTTTCGTCCATCAACATTAAATCAACATTAATTTGATCATTCCAAAGCCAAGAATCCTTACTTACCCTTCTCAGCACAGGTTTTTCAATGAAGCTGCGAACGTAATTTTCATTGAATTGATTCTGCAACATTCTGAGATTTTCGAAACCTTTTCTGCCTTCGCCAACTAACAGAAATGGAATCACGTGAAATGACTTGGATATTGTGAAAAATTAAAATTACCTGCACTTACTGATTGGATTGCTCCACCTGTGCACTGTCGAAAAATCAACATCCGAAATAAAACCCAGAATCTGTGAAAGCAGTATAAAACCAATTTTCAGACTTTTATTTCGTTTTAATATCGTTGAAAGGGGTTCATCTGTTCACATGAAGTTTTCTAAAACATATTACGGCTTTCGTCGAAGTTATACTTGAAGGGAAATAAATGATTTTCCAATTCACGTATAAATTTTCTATTCGAAAATGTATCTTTACTACGAACTCATAACGCAACTGCGAGGAAATGACAAATCATTCCTGTGTAAATATGTGTGTGGATTGTAATTTATGTATTTGTATGTACATATTAGAGAACGAATTCTTAATTTTCTTTGCAGATTTGGTAAAAGAAGCGAAAAATCGCCCACGAAGATTTTCTGATTACATTTGTAAAAAAAATTATAACAATGAAAAAATAATTGAAATGCGTTCAATGCACATAACATTGCGATCCTAGAACTTTTATGAGCTAATAACGCGAACACGCATTTTACATATACCCAGACAGCATAGTTGTAAGCAAAGACAATAAAAAAGCCCCCTCTTTTAAATTTCTTTCGAAATATTTGCGCCCAAAAACTCGTTCCTGACTATATAGGTTTCTGATTAAATACGAAATCCGAAAAATATTTTACCTTCACTGCAGAACGTTCTGATCCTATATAACTTTCATAAACTATAATAGCGTAAAAAAGAAATTTAAAAACACTTTAAACTCCGTTTCTTATTCATAAGAATGTCAAAAAAGCCGCCTTTTATTGTACATTTCTTTCACAAAATCAGTAAAATGTAGCCCCCCTCCGCCCCCCCAAAAGACCGCTCTTTTGATTATGGAGCTATATATTTTATATTAGTTTCTGTTCATGGAATTAAGAATGTTTAAGAATGAATAAATCCCTAACCTTGACGAACCGTTCAGATCCGAAAGCATCAATGACCTCATAGTGCAACGAGGACATGTCAAACCATCCTCGGAATTCCTCGGGAACCACACACTCGGACTTGCCAACAGGTGTGTCCCAAAGCCGAAGTTATGTCGAAGCGTGGGGAACTGGTTTCCAGTGTTGTCGGGCTGCAGAAAGGACGGAGTCCTGTTTGCACCAGTAGGCGTAAGCTCGACGTGGTTGTCGATCGGCGATTTTCACTAATAATATTGTATATGAGAAATAAAAATATTCAGAGAGTCGTTTATCCCTGCGTAAACGAAACGAATCCGTTTCCAGCAGGCAGATGATGCATCTCTGTATGCAAAATTTGCATCATGCTAATCAATTATTTTCCACAACTTATTTGTTTGATGAACAAAACCGTATGGATAACTCTGAAGACAAATTTCTGAGGAGAAAATTTTGTGGGCCAGGACAATGCAGGTGGTACCTTGCAATTTGACTCTAATACTTTACCAAGCTAGGGTCAAATTTCAAAATGGTTGCTTTGCAAGACACTCTGTGAAATAAAATAAAAATCATACCAGGAGATCTTAAACTCTTGGGGGACCAATCTTAGAGGACCAAGATAATCTGTTACAGAATGTTAAATCAAAGATTCTCTCAAAATTGTCTAACCAACTAAACCTTGTCTGGGAGCAGGTTGGAAACCTTGTGCTTTAATTTGTGTGTATTAGGTGTATTGTGTGTATTATTTAATTTGTGTGAGGGGTTTGGATGTGGGAACTGTTACATAAATACCAAATCAAGTAAAAGTTCTGCTCACTGATTTTAGGGTATTGGTTGAAATAGAATGTTTTCAGCTTGTCTCTGTGTTTTATTGCTTCATGCTTCAATTCCTATTATCAATATTTTTTTTATTATCTGGGAATGGAAGCAAGTGTATGTATTAATATCAGTTGGGTGGTTCCACTTTTTGGGAGTTATTTTCATTTCTTTAAACATCCATGCTGTACAGGTTGTATATCTGTTTACCATTCTGATGTGCAGAATGTGTTTGGACAGATTTGGGTGAGGGGGTTTGGATGTGGGAACTGTTACATAAATACCAAATCAAGTAAAAGTTCTGCTCACTGATTCTAGGGTATTGGTTGAAATAGAATGTTTTCAGCTTGTCTCTGTGTTTTATTTTAACCTGGAGATTTTATTTTATTGAAGACAAGAAAGATGTTGTATTTTGCAGCAGGAACTTGATGTAATTTTAGCAGCTGCAAATATTGCACCAATTGCGCATTTTACTTTGTGAATGCCCCAAGTGGGATGATTTTGTTTTTGTCTCTGCTCTTGACCATGGGCGATTTTATCAGGGAGGAAATGCGCGCCAATTCTTATCAGCAAAGCGCTTCAGCAAAAAAGGTATTTTGCAGAAATGCAAATATCTTAAAAAGTAAGACATTTAGAAATATTTTACTAGAAACAAAGTGTAGAAAACATCAAGATCTAACTTTTAAGATGGCACGAAATTTTCTATCTTAAGAATTGAATGAGATACGCGCTTCAGTATTTTGCGTCGTGAATTATGCAATGTGCAAAATTTTACCTTGGAAAATTTCCTGGTTTTCAGGACTTGTTTTTTGTGGAAAGTGCCTGTGTGTTTTCATGCCTATTGTGTGGGGTATATAAGGTGTGTGGATTGTGTCATTAAATCATCAGTCTATATTCAGCTTCAACCAAGTGCTGTCCCATTCCTTTGCTAAAGTTCAAGTATAGTAATTTCAAATTTAAATGAGCTAGCAAGCTGCTTAACTGCTTGCTCACTTTGAGCATATTTGGTCCTGTGGTAATTTAATAGCAAAGATATCAGTCTCAGGGAACATTAATTGATCCTTGTGAAAAGCAGAAAATAAAGCTTGCTGTTCAATTCAATTCAATACAAGAATGCAAAAAAATTGGCCAAACCACGTCAAATTGCAGGTCAAGGGTCAAATTGAAAGTCCACCTCCCTGCAAATTTGACCATCAAATTGCAGGATGGTTGAATTGTGAGGTACCACCTGTATTATTAAGCTCAATCTATTCCCCACTTCATTGCCATCAGTACTTTCTCAGAAATAAATACAATAATTAAAAACAATTCTGAAAGAAGCCATAACCATTTGGTATTCTGTTCACACATATATCCAAAATATTTATATGGATATAGGCAATTATTTCCTGATCAGTATTTGGAAAAAAATGCTGTCAATTATGGAAAACAATAAACTGTAACATTTTTAGTTGTATCACGTCTTTGCAGACATGCGTTTGAATAAATTAGAAGAAACTAACACGCTCTTCTGGAGATTACTTTTGAAAACTGAGAATCATCAAGCCAATCAAAAATTTTTGATTATCTCAGGATAATTGAATTTTTGTCATGATAAATTCATTTAGCTAGTGATGAAACTTAAATCGCAAGATAAGTTTCATTTTTCGATGAATGCGTGAGAACCTGAGTAAAATTTCATGAAATATAAATTTATCAAGGTTTTAATTATCAAATAGCATTTACCGTTTATATCCTCGAATTCTGTGCGATAATCGGAACAAGTCGCCATAATTTGTAGAGCTGTTTGGAATCCGATGTCTGCATCTCGTCTCAAATCGCCGGTGTTCCAGACGACTAACATAGCATCTCCTGTATTGCGCAAAAACCAGCAAAAGAAATGGAAATAATTATAAGCACTCAGCGAAAGTTTCTCAACTGATCACACAGAAAATTAAATAGTCTACATAATGCTGGCTATAAAAATGAAAGCATTCTTTCCATTTCAATTTCAAATATGTCTGGATAATAAAAAATAGCAAAAAAGAAAAATAATGCACCTTCCAAGCTGATGATGTCGCCATTTTGAGTAAATATCACATTCATGACCTTGGAAGAATATTCATCCAAGATAGCCGTCAAAGAATCCGTTCCTTCATTCCAATGCCTCGTCACAAATTTCTCAGTCAAACTTGTAAACCCTTGAAGAAATTTTAAAATTTTCATCATCTCCTAAAATTCAACGCACTTAATTTTCGATTAAGCAGAACTTCAAACCGTCATCAATGGCCATGCATGTAAGAATATAGTTACTAAATAGGGAACGGAATGAATAGAAGCATCTTTCAATAAACAATAAGATGACCGAAAACCATTCATAAAAGTTCGAAGATAAAATTTTAAGTACTGATGGCAAAAACGATCACCAGAAATGTCGAGGTACATGAAACAACCATCCATGAGAACATCTTCGGCTGGTTTGTCTGAAAAAATCGAGTCGATGCTGCTGGAAATCCTCAACCTGGGAAGAAATGGGAAATGAAGAGCAATTAATTAAATCAACTAACTCTCCTTTGGATTTCTCAACGTGAAGATGGAAGAAATCTATAGTCAGAAAAATGACTCACAAAAATTGACATTCATATAATGCTTACATTGGCTTGCAAAGTCTGATTGTGCTAACAAACATTGGATATGAACAGAAACCTACAGTTTCAATAAAATTAGGTATTGAAAGTTAACTCATTCACCAAATTGGAAATAATTGAGCTATAACAAAGATTTCCCCGGGAAATAACAAGCTTCGTGTTTCTTGGCCAAAACCCCATTCTATACTGTTATAAAAATGTCTATAAATCATAATTTTTTCTGAAACCGACCTGGAATTGACGCCACTTCTAGAAGTCGGCTGTTGCCCAACATCACCGTCAGAAACTGTCAAAATCGTGGCATCATCAACTGTCGGATCCACAGCCGCAGCAGTAGTGGTGGTACTCTGGTCATCCTCATCGACACCTTCACTTTTTCGACCACCAACGACGACCGTCGTTCTCTGATGGCGGTCATTGTTGACACCATCAACCCCTAGGTCTCTACACTTGGCCAGCACCACGTCTGGTACCATGGACGCCAAACTGCGGAAATAGTAGCGACGGTATTCCTCGTTCCATGCGAGGCGC